ATTTGAAAGTCCCACTAAAGTCCATTGTAGTTATATTAATTTAAAATTCAGAAAGATGAAACAAATAGGAAATTTTCATTAAAGGGACATCTTCAAACATCTAACTTAAAAAAAGGCACTTTTTATGATCTTATATGAATCTAAAGATTCACACTTTTGTGGATCGAGCAGTAGCATCATAAAAGAAAAATAGAGAGAAAAAGTGCAAAATAAACTCAACACGTTAATATTACATTTTGGTTTTATTATTATTAACTCAGCTGGTTCAATTTTGCTTTTACGTTAATATTAAACTCAACACGTTAATATTAATTTGTCATTCACATTAATATTAAATAAAACAATATTATATCATTACTTTTATGTTTTACTTTTATATTTTACTTTCTAACTTTTTTAGAATACTCTATTTTTAATTTTGCTTTCATGTTAACATTAAATTTAATAATACTATAATATTTTGGTTAAAAAAAATATAATATTAATTTGCTAATAAAATATTTTCCTTTTATGAAAGTTTTATCATAATTATAAGTTAATTAAGAATCTTAAAAAAAATTAATTTAATCAAGTATATTAGTTTTCTATTTGAATTTAATTCTATTGAATAGAAAAATAAATTATTAAAATAAAATAAGAAATCTTTAATAGTTTACAATATATAATTATAAATTTAATAAAGTAAAAATTTTAATGTCATCCTAATTGAAAATTTTTATACTCCTTTCATCCTAAAATTATAGTCCTAGTGTATTTTTTAGGTGTCTCAAAATAATAATCCAATTTATATTTTTAAAATTATTTGTTGTACTTTTCCAGAATACCTTATATAGTAATTTGTATCAATAATTAATATTAATTGCATTTACCAAATAACAAAAAAAAAGTCTTAATATAATCAACTTTGAAATCTTATATACTAATTATTCATCATATTTTGAAAGTCTCAAAGAATTATTATTATTATATTTTTAGTGTTTTTAAGGATAATATATTAAAAATAAGAAGAAAATTATAATTAAACTAATTAAACTATTTTTTAAATTGTGTGAAAAAATTTGGGATTATAATTTTAAAACAGATGGAGTGTTAATTAAAATTATAAATTATTATGAATATTTTTATTCAAATTTTATATGAAAACTATATTGAATATTATATTTAACTATAAGCTATTTTTATAATTTTGTTATAGGAATTAAAATAACGAATATCTATAATGCAAAGCACACTCTTAAATATTACTCCTTCTATCCCGAAAAAATAGTTCACTTTCTATTTTCACACAGATTAAGAAATATGGTTAAAAAATAATTTTATTCATATAACTTTTTTATTATGCCTATCTTAAATTACACGTGAGTAATTATTATATTGGAATATAACTAAGAATTAATAAGGGTTATTCAAAATAAGGTAAAATTTAGAAGGGTCTATTGGATTAAGAGCCTATTAGATTTTAAAAGATTTTAAAATTTCAATGGTATTTAATCTAGATTCTTTTAGAATCTATTAAAATTTTGTGGTATTCAATTCAGACTTTAATAAAATCCATAAAATTTGACAATATTCAATTATAACTTTTTAAAACTCCATACAAATTTGATGGTATTTAAAAAATTGCTAATTTGAAATAATTCTATAAAATTATTGATTTCGTTAGATTTTAGAGTGTTATGTACGAATAAAAATAGTCATTCACAAATCCATCTTTTAACTCAAAGATTTCAAAAAACTTTTAAAATCTAACAAATTCTCGATCCGAAAGCGAAGCGGTTATCCGCGAATTTTAAACTACTTGTATAGGTATCCATTTAAAATTTTACTATCCGTATTCATTCTAAACCCGTTTAAATACCTATTTAAGTATCCATATTCGAACCCGTTTAAATATTTACAACTTGTACCATCCAAAAACCCGTTGAAAGTATCTCTTACATGGGTAGGGCACCCGCGAATATTTAACTATTTAAATTTCGAACTTATTTAAAATACACTTTTTACTAATAATAGATAGGGTACCTACTACCGAACCCATTTAATATTGCGGTTAATAAGAGCGGGATGGCCGCTGCTGACGCTAGCCATTGCAGCCTTTGACTATTGGTGGTGATAAGTTTTTAATGAAGAAAATAATGATTTTGGAGAAGACGACGCATTTTGCTTTTTAGTCCCTCATTGTTTTTCAATTTTTATTTGGCTATAAAACCTTTTAATTTGTTCAATTAGGTCTTGAAATTAATTTTGATTGGATATATAAAAATCACTGTGATTCCATTAAAGTCAATCAAAATCTATAAAAAAAATCTCACAAATTCCATAAAACTCTATGTAGAATTCTGGTGGAATCTGTAGAAATCTTAAAAAATCCTTCAATTCTGTCAAACTCAGTAATTCTTTTAAAATTTAACACAATCCTGATCTAATAGACTCTCTTAATAAAAATATAGTAGACAATTTAAGAATTAACTATAGTGTAAAAAAAAATTATATTTAAAGAAAATTAAAAAGGAAAAATAAATTATCTTTTTACAACACATCGGTACCCATTTTTAGTAAAGAAGAAAATTTTTATTAAATTGTAGATTTGTAAAGTCTCGTTTCTGTCCCTATTCAATTCAGTTCACGCGTAAACAGATACGATCTCCAATCACGTACGAAAGAGGAAAATACTTTACTTGCAAGCTGAATATTCACTAATAAATCCCAAAAATAAATTACCTGTTCCGTTACTTCCGTATACTTCACTCACACTCCACGTGTCCAAACATGACAGGTTCTGTAAGCCATCGACCAAAAACAGAACGAGCTCTGACACACGGCACGAATCGTACATGTGTATCGGGCTTTTTTAATTAAAATGGTGGGCCATTGTTGTCAGTGTTAGTAAACTTTTGCACATCAGACTGTAAAGGCAGTTGAATAAAAAGGGCAAAGGGACTGAAACGTAGCTCAATTTATGAATGATGTAAGCATCGTTTGAAGCAGTGCAGCGCTTTGACAAGGAGGTAGAATCATGAACAGGACGCAGCCCCCTGAATTTTCTTTTATATTTAAATAATTTTTATTCAAAAAAGTTAAAATTTACTTAATTTGTGTAATTTTGTTTCCTTTTAAATTTTACTCTTTATAGCCTATTAATTTTAGTTTAATAATTATTGGTTTCTCCTGATGCATTATAATTTTGCAAGTTTAATAAATTAATTTAGATTATAATATTCAACTTAATGACATATTATATTTAATCTAATTTTAGTATTTAATAAATTAATTAATTTACAAGCGAAAGCGTGAATTTTTTAATTTTATATAATAACCATGTGCTTATTATTGACTTATGGAACAATATTTTTAAAAAATAAAAATCAGCACCATTAGATATTAATTAATCAACTATTCAGTTTGGTCATTTAACACCTTATAAATAAAATGTAAAAAATTTTAAGTTTGATATAAAAAATATTAGACATCTGGTAGGTAAAATTTACTTATTAATACATACGTGAGCTATTGATGATTGTTCAGTAATTTATATTAAAAGATATAAATTTTCAAGCATAACAGCGCAGTAATTATGAATAAATTCTAGTAAATAAAAAATAGGGAATGACTCTTGTAATAGGTAATTTTCTTTTTGTAAAGAATTCTCCTCACTTATATTTATTTTTTATATATTATTTTTATAAATTATAGGTTTTGATTTGTCCCCTCCGTGAATTTTCTGGGTGAAACCATGGAGTCATGCATGAGTGGATGTTGTATCTTGCTAAGAATTGTCGCATGTTTGAAATTTGAATTAGAGAAAACATCTAATCGTGCACAGTAATGCATTTGAATGAGCATTAACAATGAAATCATAGGTTATTAGTGCGGATTATAACTAGGGATGGTAATTTTACTGGATGGTAATTTTGCTTAACTCAGCGGATACCCGATCCGATTTAACGGATTATAAAGTATTTTTACTACCTGTATTGAGTTTGAATTCAAGGACTCTGGTATCTACTAGCTGTTTAATTAATATTTTAAAAATATTTAAACTAATTATTTTTTAAAAAGAAAATTATACATATACACTATTTTAATTATAATTAATGCTATAATTATATATAGTATTTATATTAATTTTTTATTAAGTTAAATTACAGTTTTATAATTTTTACTTGTTTTTATTTTTGAAAAATAAAAATAAAAATTTTTAATGGTAAAAGAGTATTTAAACAGGTTCGGGTACGTTAATGAATAATTATAATCAGATTTGAAATGGATTTGGACATTAAAAGTGAATTTTTAGATGGATTTAGATATTTAATTCCTAATCGAATTTGAATGCATAATTTATAATCGAGTTCGAATTCAAATAATAAATTTTAGATAAATACAGATTTATATACCTAATTTATAACTGAATTTGGACACATAATTTATAATGACTTTGGATTTCAACGGTAAATTTTAGGCGGTACCCCCACATTGCTGTCCTTAATTATAGATTGAAAGTAGAAGAGGATAAGCTGGAAGACTAACCCGAGAATGGCTTGGATGCAGGGACCGTAGCTCGAGGTCAATGAAGCCACCTCGTTCAAACGCCTTCTTTGTTATTCCGTCTAGGGTTTTAACCCTCGCTTCGTAAAACAAAAGATTCTTGTGGGTCCCATGTACATCATTAGCCTTTCCCTACGTGTTTCACTTTTTTTATTTTTGAAATTACATAATTAACCTTTCCCCTCTATAATTCCCTTCCCATGTACTGATTGACTTGCGTCCGGGTCTCCACACAACACTATACACTTGCATTATATTATTGTCGTACATACGTGCGATTCGAGCTGTTGATAATTTTCCAAAACGGAGACAAAAGTACTCCTGTCCCACCTGCAGCGAATCAGAACCCACACGAAAAGTAAACCTATGGCAGGTTTAGGAATTTAACTTCCTTAGCGCGTCTAAAGCGCGTTGAATTTAATAGAAACTTCTATGACTATATATAAGTATTGGTTGTTTACCATGCTCGGCTCAAACGAAAACAAAATTAGGATAGAACTTGTTCTTTCTGTTTCGTTTTCTCTGTAACAATGGCGAATCCATGCCCTAACAATAGTCTTGTTGGCTCCATGGACGAAATAAGAGGAATTTTCAACAAATTTGACAAAAACGGCGACGGAAAGATCTCGTCGGAGGAGGTTATCCAAAGTCTCGGCGAGCTCGGCACGAAAATATCACCGGAGGAGGTTCAGTGCATGATGCAGGAGTTCGACAAGGACGGCGATGGCTACATTGATCTAGACGAGTTCGTCGATTTCATCCAGCGTGGCGGAACTGATGGAACAACGCAGTCCGGCGGGAATAAGGAGCTTAAAGATGCCTTTGATCTGTACGATATTGATAAGAATGGATTGATATCGGCCAGCGAATTGCATAAGGTTATGAAAATGCTTGGGCTTAGATCCACTTTGAATGATTGTATGAAGATGATTCGCCAAGTTGATGAAGATGGCGATGGCAACGTCAATTTCGAGGAGTTTAAGAAGATGATGACTAACGGAAGTTTTTGATTAGCAATCCTTAACTTCGCAAAGAAAAAAACGAAAAAGGATTTCATGTGCAGGTAAGTTTTTAGCTAGTCTGACTCTTTTCGGGTCGTTTAATTGTAGTTTTCAATTTTGTTTCTGCCGTTTGGTTTAATTTCAATTTAACGGCAGAAACATTAGTGCATCAAGTAGGAGTAGCAAAGTTAATTTCTATAACTATTAACTCCAGGATTTCAAGTATCTCGCATGAAATTATGATATATGCTTAATTGCAGTGCATTGATTAAGTCAAGCTCGATTTGCTATTGCTTTGATTTTAATGGCTGCTTTTGATTTATGATCTATATTATTTTGAATAGATTGACTTGGAAAATTGGGTTTACTAATAGTGGATCATAGGTCTTTATTAATTTTTGTTAGCTTTTGGTTTTGTCTGGTTATGATAACTAATACTAGTTTGAATAGGACTATTATGTAAATACTATTTCTGTTTGCACACCGATGGTAAATGCATATAGATCAGGTTTGCATTCCGTCCCCAATACTGAAAAAATATAAGCTGTTTATGACTAAATTCGTAGGATGGAGCGGGGTATTTAGAGAACTAAATTCATATTCATCACAAACTCATGTAATTACTTGAGTCTAATCAATGAGTTGACTAGCACTACTCTAGGCTGGATGAATCCCACCATAATATTTCTAAATTAACTAAATTATCTTTTGACGAATAGGGGCTAGCTAGTAATAATTGTGGTGGATCGATCCTAAATTATCAAATAGGTATCTTGTGGCCTTAATTTTTTATGTGGATTATGAAAGGTTACAGAGCGAGTGTAAATGGAAAAGCGTGCGGAGGTTGTGGACAAGAAAAATTTTAAGTGCTTTGCTTGCTTCACGAAATTTGTGCGGCCATGCTTAGCTCAACACGGTGGGTGTAGTATATGCTAATACCTACCTTGAAGGAAAGATAAAGGAAAAGGTTACTTGTAGTTTGGAAATTGGAAACACGCGTTATTTCCTTTTGTGGTTCTTGAATTATACTCTTTCCTTTATAGTTGGCTGGTGCAACTATATTCAATGATGCGGTTAGAAATTATGAGATTTATAGTTGAGAGTTTTTTTTTTAGGTAGAAGGCAATGGATCCTTCGTGATACTTCAAGTTCCAAAAGCATTTGATATCATTTATGAAGAACTAATATTTTAAGAAACAAAGTATATTTTATCCCTTGAACTTAGTATCGGAGAGTAAAAATAAAAAGTTATAGAGTCTGTTTGGCAAAATTAGATATTTTCGAGTAGCTCTTCTAAAAGCTAAAAGTTATATGGCTAGTTATGCCATGTGACCGAACACTGTAAGAAATAGCATTTAATATTTTGACCAGTCAAAAGGTTAAAAACTACTTAAAAAGCTGTTGCAAAAAACAACCATAAAATTGACTTTTCGATCAATTTACCCTCTTTGACTTGTAATTTAAGCTCAATTTGCACAAAAAAAGCTTCTGAATTTGCCTATTCTCATGTGGATTTAGGCTTTTTGGGTAAATTCAATGTGAATTATAAGTTTAGAGAATAAATTGAACCGATCAGTGGATTTTGTAGCTTTTCTTACAAATTCAGATGACAAATTGAACTTTCTTCTAATATTTAATTTTTGAGTATTAAATACTTAGGATATTAAATACTTAAGATATATTTGACAATAATAGCTTGTTAGTTGTTAGCTGATTATAAAGCGGTTTAAATTATAAATGTTTGGTAAAAATAATAGTTTAATTAATTTAAATTAGAAATACGTTAATTGTTTAATTAGTTAAAAGTTCTCCTAAACTTTAATTGAATCCTATGATTAATAGGGATAGAGTTTTGACTTGATCAAAACGTTAAAAATTAATTTAAAAGATAGAGTATTGATTTTATCAAAACGTTAAGAACTAGTTTAAAGGTTGTTGGCGAAAGGTGAAATATAAATGCTTTTACACGTTTTATTTTGGCAACGTTATTGTTAAAGTAAAAAATGTTAATGTTTACTATCAATATTATATTTTTCAGTTTCCTTTTCAATCCTTTTTATAAATATTTTGTTTCTTTGTCTTCCAGAGTTCACTTCCTAAGTTATAATAATGTTTTTTTTTCTTTTTTTGTTAATTTTAATCCACTCCAAAGCCATCAGCTCGTATTAGTAAACATGTTGCTCACTTTCAAAGCCACTTTAAAACTCTTGCGAGAAAATGAATCAAGAAAAGAAGAATAAACCATTACTTTTAGAGTATAGCACACTTGAGTTTGTGGAGATTTTGAAATCAGTTTAGGAGTTTCCACAAGGTCTCGTTGTTGCCAAATAATTTTGTTTTTGCGTACACTATCATTCTTGACGCTTGGTGTTCCATGAAAAGTATTAATTCTATTATTATCTTATTAATATTATTATATCATGGAATCATTTTAAATGACAACGACAGTTTCAGGATTTGGAAAAAAAATAAAAAGCATTTATGAAATAAATGTACAAAATGAAATCAAAATAAATCAGCTAACACAACTAAATCAGTGATTCTATCGATCTTAATATTAGTAGGAGCAGTCAAGGAAGAGCCAGGATTTTTTCATAGGGTGAAAATATGTTTATTTTATATGATGAATAAAAAATTTTAATTTAAAAAGCGCTTAAAAGAGTGTAATTACATAAATAAATATATTCAATGTGGTAAAAAATTTTTTTAATGAAAAAAATATAAATAATAATAACATAATAGAGATTTTTTAGTATACATAATGATTTTCAATAGGAAAAAAAAATAATTTTCTAATATTACATAGTAGAAATTACAGATAAAATAATTATATAGTATTTAAAATTATAAATATGTTATTGCAATTTTAGAACTCAATCAATTCAATTTCATATTATTTTCTAAAAACTATTAAAATAGAATCATTTATTATAATATTAGATCTATCTCTTTGAATAAATTAAATATAATATGTATTTATTCATTGAATTTAGAATTTAAAGTTTTTTTAAGTCGTTAAATTTTAATTAAATAACTAATAATAAACAATTGGAATATAAATTTGTAATAACTAATAATAAACAATATGAAAAATAAATTTGGTAATATATATATATATATATATATATATATATATAACGCAAAAAACTAATTAAAATTTTTTTTAGCAGCTAAAATCGTGTAAAAAAAAACTCAAAATAAAACAAAAAGTTTGCAACTGTTGCCGATTTATATATACGCAAAAACTAATTAAAATTTTTTTAGCAGCTAAAATCGTGTAAAAAAACTCAAATAAAAAACAAAAAGTTGCAACTGTTGCCGATTCAACTCAAGTCTCATAACCTGAGAAACAAGAATTTTACCATCTAAGCTACAGAGTTGACCGTTAACATCAACCACATACAAGCCAGGGGGCGGTGGCCCGCCAGCACCCCCTTTCTCCGTCGCTAAGTAGGAAAGTATGCTTTAATATTAATGCCTTTTATTTTTGAGATATCATTCGAGACACGCATTTCATAAAATATTTGTTAATGTGTATATTGATATATTTCTATTGATGTTTATGGATGGAAGTGGAGCGAGTTTTCGCAGGTATCTAATTTATAAAAATCTATTTAAAATAAATTTGGATATTTTTTAAAAGCAGATTTGAATATTAATTAAAAGGTTTTGAAACGAGACAGATATTAAAAATTTATTAGTCATCACGGATTTAGGTCAAGTGTAGATTTAAAATTATAGGTACTCCCTACCAACCGAAACTCATTATTAACTTTGAAATATGTACATAATAGTAATGTAATTTGGGCTTAATTTTATTAAAATAAAATAGATTAAATCTAAACTCAAAACTCGAAATCCTAATTATCATCGAATGTTAAACAAATCAATTACCAAAAAACAAATTAAAAGAATTTCAAACAACTAGAATTTTGGATTATTTTTCACTCATGCTTCCCCTTTATAGTTTTTAGTCCAGCCCTAAAGAAGCTGAGTATTAGTTAAACAAGTTTTGGATCGGTGTAAGCATTAAAGTTTTAAACGGATTTAAGTATGAGTATTTCAAAAGGAAATTTAAATGAATTTGAAATGAATATTGATATCAAAATATCAAATGAGTTTAAGCATATGATAGTGCAAATTTTGCGAGTACTTGCCTCACTTTGATCCTTGATTTTTTTTTTTGTTATATGTAGAAGTCCAATGAACTGGGAGAACATATATGACGCACAATAGGAGTAGCTCTTTCCTTTAAATAAGATTTACCAAATTTATTTTTATGAGAAGATTCGAATTCAAGATTTTTCACTCACCACATTTTCTACAATATGAGAATACCAGCTAGATTACACCTTGTTGGCCTTAATTTGATCCTGATTAATATCTCTTAGCAAATAAATAAAAATTTTAAAAACTACAAATAAATAGTTTAAACTTTTCTTGAAAAGTGAATTTTAATATAATGTACCCAATTTAAAAAAATAGTTATCCCATAACTCGTAATTAATTAATTGTTAATAAAATAATCAAAAAATTTTAATTCAAAAAATATCAAATACATATCTATAATTTGCATGAATGATGAATAATTTAAAAATTATTGCAATATTTAAAGTATTATTTATATTTTGATATGATTACTATTATATTAAATATATAATATTTGAATTGGATAATGAATAGTATAAAAATTTAGTATCTATAGATTAATATTTGATGATTAATGATTTAAAAAATAATTATGTACACATAACTATATTATTAATTTTTCATTTATGAAATTATTTTTAACCTAATTAAGCCGAATTGACCGAATCTTAGCAGATCTAGTTATCAATCCAGTTCAACGTCCAGTCCAATTTTTAAAATATTGATAAATAATACATTCAAAGATATCTTCTGCAATGCTCTAATGAAAATTGAAAAACAGAAACAGAATCTGTTCAATTTTACACACGTTTTAAGAGCAAGAAAAGAATTAATATGAATGCTTCAAGTCTGTGGCCGTTGTTGCTCCAATTCAATTGATCTCCCATTTGATTCCACATAAAGAATTTTTTAACCTGTTATACACATGAGATGTTAGCCTCAATATTCTATACATACAGTTACAAGTTCGTTATAGCAACCGTAACAGATTCAGTTCTTGAATATTGTAGCAGAAAATATAATGTGTCAATGAATAAACACACAATCTGAAGGAAAATGTGAGATAGCTTTAGGAGAAAGTTGATATTCATCCTCATGATTTGTTTTCTTCACCTCTTCAAACCCTGCAGCTTCCAAGACCCGAGTCGTCACCTCTTGAAACCTTTCTTCTGATACAGAAACCTCTGCGAGAAGTCTCCATATATATGCCTCTGATGCATCCTCAAAATCTTTCCTTCTTTTAAGCACTATATGTCCACTAACCTCCCAAACTGCTGGATTCACTTGAGTGTTCAAAAGCTCCTGGCTTACTTCTCCAAGCGCTTGTTTTTCTGCATAACACTAGAAAATTCACTGATGTTTAAACAATCAATAGATTTTCTCTCCCTTCTAAAAATCGCATAAGGGTTAATTTATGTTCTAGCTACTAAAGAACAATTTGTTGCAGTAAGATCAGTTAATACTTACCTGAGGGAACAGAAAGATACGGTTTCCACAATCAGCAATCAACACATTGAAGGGGACATTGTTGTTCTGGAGGTAAATGCAAGAACTAGAAACTGAATCAGAAAGATCCTCAATTGTATTTCCACCTTCAAAGACAAGACCTTTCACTGGATAATTCAAAAGGCGTGACACTACCACACCTTTATCTCGAGTACCCTTCAATGTTATTCTTTTAGTAGGAGCTTTCTCAACTGGAAAGGATACTGCTAAATAATATGCCTGCAAATGTTAAAAAATTTCAAGAGTTGACTCGTTTGGTTCCTAGAATGAAATAGAATAGAAGCAACAATGCATGAAATTTGTATTCTTGTATGATAAATTATTACACATCAAACATTTCAAATTTGAATAATTATTCTGTTTCACCTTATTCTTTGAATTGAACAATGCCTGAGCAATAAGTACTAATTGAAAGCACCATATATGGCAATGGACAAAGAAAAAACCTGGAAATGAAGATGATTAATGGTAGCAAAAGCACCCAAACTGTTGTAACCAACTCTAAAGAAAGGATCGGATGCTTCTTTAGCCAGGTAAACAGCAAGCAAGAAACTCTCACTATCAATCCTTTGAGGCAAGCAATCCAGAATACGAGGTATAAGAAGAACATGACCATACTCAATTGGACTCACCTGAAATCAACAAATCTCAAAACAAAAGCTGAGGACCTGTTTGATATCATTGTAATGTTTTTTATTTTGGGTTTTGTGTTATCAAATTATAAATTAAGACCATACTATTTAAATAAAAATTGATCATGGCTATTTAACACCTTAAATTAAGGAAAACCTTTTCTACTACTAAACAAAAATGATATCAAACAGACTATAATTAACAAAAGTTACACATGGATGAAATTTATTACATTGATAGCAACAACATTAGGAGAGTTGGAATCGACAGAGGCAGGTGCAGTAGGAAAGAACTCACTCTTCTTATCATCAAGGCCGTGTTCGAACCTGAAAAGGACTTCTTCTTGTCCTATTTTATTGAAATTGAACTTACTCTCATCGAAATCTTGAAGTACCTTATCGACCCTGAATTCAGTAGGCCTTTTCTTGAGATGACGCCCCTCGTTAAGCTGTGCAATGAAACCATATCTGCCTGGAATGATTGTTGACTGGCAAGTAGTTACATCGTAGCGAAAAAGTCCACGAGTCATCCTATCCTCCCATTGACCCAACAACAGATTGTGCAAGAAACATATTTGAGCCTGTTGCCTATCTTGGGATGACCTCACCATCCCATTTTCTATTGATTTCTCTGTATCTTTTTTAAATGAATATAGAGGCAAATTCGAGCCTGGAATGATCAATAATTGCTTAATTATAATGGGGCTGTTGAGCTAATGAAGTTATAAATGAGCATAAGCTCGAGTTCGAGCCTGTAAATGAGTCGCAATTTTTACAATCCAAATTATACAAAACAGAGCCTAGCTCAACTCCAGTTTTTCCATCATTTTTCAAGTTAGGATTGAGCTTGAGCTCTATAATATCTTTAACATCGTTCATAGCACAAAGTTATATATCCATCATTTTGTCAAGTTAGGATTGAGCTTGAGCTCTATAATTATCTTTACATCCGTTCAATAAGCACAAAGTTATATATATATATATATATATATATATATATGATATATATATATATATATATATTTTAAAAAATTTGAGAAAAATAATATATATTTTAAATTTGAGAAAAATAAAAATGAACAGAAAAAAAAAAAAAAGAAACATGCTGTAATTAAAGACATTTTTCTCAGCAACAATTTTTTGAACAAATGTCAAAAGCTAAAAAAGGAAAAAAAAAATTGTCAAAATAAAGAAACATACCAGGTAAGCAACAGTTTCCAAGGCAATTCCGGCCACACCCTTCAAGGTTTCTTTCGGAATTCTCCTCCTGATAATTTGAAACCACCGTTGGTACCTTCTTAATGGTCAACATCTTTCTTCTTTATAATAATAACAAATATTTACACCCATGTAATATATGAACAAAAAAATATATTTATATAAACTATATATATATATGTATGTGTCTATATAGAAAGAGGCGGCTATATGGCTGCCGCCATCGGCAAGGAAGTGGAGGTCAGAAGGAGAACCGCCGTCGGAAGGAAGGGCACCCCAACCGCCGTATGGGGAAGGAGTGGTACTATCTATTGGGATTATCCGAGGTTTTCTTCTTCTTCTTATTCTCCTCCTAGTCTGGTTCTTGCGGTAATTATGGATTAGAGGTTTGGATCCCTTTTTCTCTGCTACTATCAATCGGAGCTTTTTAGGTCCAGATATTCCCTGTGGCATTCCCCGTTTCACGTCCATATTTGGTCTCCTTGGACATGGCGGTGTATCAAAGATTTATGAATTAGAAAAGTCAATTTACAAAACTAACCTTGGGTTTTTAATTTCTTAAGTAAGCCTAAAAACAAAGTCCACAGAGAAATTTCAGTCAGCCCACATGTGCACTTTATTTCGACGAATTTTAGGGCGCAGGGCCCAACAAAATCGACCCTTTTTGTTTTAAATGTGTTTGAGTGAATCACTATTTAGTACCTGGATTACAAACTATTCTCTTCCTCCCATTTTCTTTGCATACAGAACATACTTATAAAAAATTTAATCAATAAAATTTATTTTAACCTTTTTTTTACTCTTAACTTATTAAGATATTAATAAAATTCTTTCGAAAGATTATGAAAATAATGATGTGAAAAAATAGTTGTTTATATATACAAATTTAGAAACTTTGTAAACATTTTATAACATCTAAAAAATGAATAACAAACAAATAAAATGATACGGGAGTATTCTATACCCCAATTTTCAAAAGTTTAATCCTTCTATTAAATCCATTATTAGTGAAAAGAATTAATTATTGTAATAGAAACAAATTTGAAGATTACATATTTTTTAAAAAGATAATATTAGGATTTCATTAAAAAATTTCAAGTCAAGACAAATATTGCATGGAGGAAATAACTCCTCTCTTGAAGACCAGACATAAAACAAAAACTATAAAATAATTATTATTTGTTGATTTAATAAGAAATCCTAATAAAAAATAGAATGTGAACTTGAAGAAAATGAATAGATTTTCAGAAGTGGTTGATTAGATGAACTCTCCGAATTTTCTATACATGGTGTAATTATCCATGAATTAGTTACTTATGAACGAACACAGAGAATTTGAACCACTGGATCCAATAGAGGAACAGACCGCACTGCCAATCTCCAAAAAATGAAGATCATCGTGTAGTTGAAAAATTCTCCACAAATTGCAATCTATCCAAATAAGCTAAACAAATGCCAACAATAAAACAAAACTCCACATAAAATAGAGAAATAATAAACTCTACACAAGATAGAGATAAAACATAAATAGTAACGAAAATATAAATAACATGAATTTATACTCATATAGGCGTAGATCTATAATTTATTTAACAAAAAATATTAAAATTTACAACAAAATTACAAATATGAGGAGAGACTATCACAAAATATAAGAATCAGCCCTCCCCATATCTATATGTTTGATTTTACGCTTCAATGAAAAGAATAAAATTTTAATGGGAAAAGAGAGGGCCGCGGTTTCATCCGCTAATTAATTCAATTGAATATAACATAATTAAATTTTAAAAATAAAGAATCTTAATTAATGTATTTGAATATAACTGGCCATTCTCCACATACCATACAACTAGCATGTGCATTCATTAAAGACAACTCACTAACAATTAATGTAATAATACCTTAAAAAAAAAAACAATTAATGTAATAATAAACAGAATATTTTCAAAAAATAATAATAATGTAAATGATATAAAATCGAATCATTATATAATTAAATTTTAAAATATGGGTGAATATCATATTTAAGTATAAGCAGAGAATTAAGTAATAATCACTACTATTATTTTTAAGGAAATAGTGACCTTTTAAAGAGTAAGAAAAAAACTTGTCAACACTGGTCTCATACATCAAGTTAATCAAAAAGGGTTTTTTAAATATATATTACAGTCAATTTCGAACAAATGAATCATGGTTGTAGAATTCATCTATTCATTTACAAATGAATTTGTTATGTTTGGTATATTATAATTTAAAATAAGGAATTCAATTGAATTCCATAAAATTATGTTTGGAATAAATTCTTAAATGAAAATTCATTGTCTTTATTTCTTATAACACCCTTGACATAATAATTTAAAAAATGAAAATTTCATTGTCTTTATTTTTTTATAACACCCTGACAATAAATAATTTAGCAAAAAAATAATAACAAACCCGATTATATTTAATTATGTATCAATATAATAACTTTGGTCATTTTTATTAATAAAATATAAAATAATAAATTTTAATATAAATAATTACACTAATATTCACAGCCAATTAATGAATTATATAAGGCAGTACACATTCATCAATAAATAATTATTTTGTTAAATTGATGTAAAAAATTTATTGATTTTAAGTAATAATTTGTTGAAAACTAAAAAAAAATTATTTACAAATATTATTGTTGTTTTTTTATTGCATTTGAAAAATAAATTGTTGATACTCAAAGTTTTTAATAGTTTCGCAAGTAATAATAACTAATGTTATTACTAGACTTCAAAAACGAAAAAAAAATTCATTACTAGTAAAAAAAATGTCATTACTAGTTTGAAATTTTTCAAAAAATAAAAATATAACTAACGTCATTATTGGATTAAAAAAAAATAACGTTGTTATAGTTTGAATTTTCCAAAAAAAAAAAAAGTAAAAATAGTTGAATTTATAGTGAAAGGTAATTTTATCAACAAGAGTTTATAATGAATGGTAATTTTATCAACAAACATTTGAATGGTAAATTTTGTGAAATTCATTTACAAATTCCATCAATTCTAGTAGAATTTGAGTTAAGTATAACTAATTTTATAGAATTCAATTTGTAGAATTTGAATTTATATTTTTTTCCTTTCAAACACAATATTTTGGATTCCAAATGAATTCTACAAAATTTTGTAAAATTTATTTTTTTCAAATAGGCTCTTACTGTTTTATTTTTTTCCAGTATATAATAAAAAATACTCTCATTTAAACTAAAATACGATTAATTTGATGTATAAATGATCATACACCGAAGGTAGATAAGGTTTTTTTTTTAAAAAAAAGTAAACCAACGAAAAGGCTAAATGTTACTGGCGAGAAATAACAAGTACGGTACATTATTTTGTAACGGTGAAAAAACCCACTTTAATGAAAGTAGTCACAAAGCCCAATTGACAGATTCTAAAACCACTGAAAAGCCTGTATGTGAATCCAACAAGGGAATAGATAGAATCAAACCCAATTTTTAATAATTAAAATTTTGAAATAATAATTAAATTGAATTGCATCAAATTATATTGAATCAGATGTATCTATACATATATAGGGTTTATACGTGGTGTTCTCATTCGTTTATGCATATAAATTTATATTGCTTATGCAAATAAAATTAATTCACGCTCGGATTTTATTATTTTTGATATCATTCTAGATAATCAAATGGATAACCGAATAATATTTTGCGAATTAATAACTAAACTAAAAAGGAAAAACAAATAATCAAAATTTATCAGTTGGAGTCCCTCCTTATAGGATAAAAGCTAGCAGCCTAGCACACTTGCTAGTCACTTGGCATTGTAAACAAAGCAACTTCTTGTTTTGTTGGTAGCTCAGCTTACAAAATTGGAGAGACAAGTAGGGATTAAAGCTTCTGCAGACAAATTGTTTAGGAGCTATAAGTATAATGTTTACCAGTTTCCCTCAAATGTTTCCTAAAACTCATAAGAGCTTGGAAATACCTGGAGGGGGAAATCAACTCAAAACTGGCTCCATGTTTATCGGCAAATAATTAGTGGGTGCAAAAAAAAAATTCAAAATTTAGAGGGAACAATATCTAAAAAATCACTATTTATAGATAAAAATTAAAATTTTTTATATTTTATAAGTTAAATTTCAAAAAAAAATTTAAAATTAGAGAATGGCAGCTACCGCTGGCCACTGATTATAATAATTGTTATATTTTTAGGTATAATTATAATCAATTAGAAAAGCTACAATTATAATATTATTAGAATACCAGTGATAATTACAATTCTATTTATTGTTTATGTTTAATTATAAAGTTTTTTGTCGAAACAACTTGATTCTTGAGAAGCAAAATTGGAGCATTAGGCGAAAGCCATTTGTCGATGCAAGTTGGTAAGCAGAAATAAAGAAGAACCGCCAAGTGATCACTCTTTCACACCATTTTAAGTTTTTCACACGTGTTAGGTCACACTCTACAACTACTGGTCACAATTTTTCTGTTTTTCACATGCTATTTTGATATGATTAGACTTGTTTAAGCGCGATTCATAGCAGGGATAAAATAAATCAATGGCTCAATTTTTTAAAAATAGCTTTCACTTTTTTTCTATGCATGGTCAACAAATACTTCATTTCAGCAGAAAATTATTTTTTTTACTGATTTAATGTATTCAGGTCCATATATTAGATTTAGGCAAGTTAAATCTCATTTTAATTAGGGGTCTCAAAATAAATTGGTGTGTCGAGTTCAATATAGATTTGCCTAATACGCGATATAATTAGTATCAATATGAACACGACCTATTTAATAATTGTATTGAATTTTTCAACACGACACTGTAACTCGTCTAATTAATTAGATCATTTATGGGTCAAAAAATTTAACACGGTCTACTTAACCTATGATATTTATAATCTATTTAAGGCAAATTATACTAAAAAATATATTTCATGAATAAAATGCATAGTTATGTCAGTTTCAAAATTAAAAATCATTAAAAGAATTAATACAAGAGTAAAATTTAAACTGATCATAAATACATAAAAGTTTTAATTAAAAAAAACATCCTTCAAATTTTCTATATATATAAAGTTTTAATTAAAAAAAACATCCTTCAAATTTCTATTATTAAATATATAATATAATATTATATATATTATATATATATAATGAAAAATCTAAATTAGAAGCATGGGTTAACTTAAAAATAAAAACTTTTTAACTAAAAAAGCCAAGAAGAAAATATAAATCAATTACCAATACAAAAGAAAAATATATTGTATTCTTAAAACAAGGAAACTCGGCTATTACGGTGTCAAACTCGTTTATATATGAAAAATCTAAATTAGAAGCATGGGTTAACTTAAAAATAAAACTTTTTAACTAAAAAGCCAAGAAAATATAAAATCAATTACCAATACAAAGAAAATATTTGTTATTCTTAAACAAGGAACTCGGCTATTACGTGTGTCAACTCGTGATGCGAAATGTTTATATTTGTATCATAAATAGGTGACCTGTATATGATACGAATCTATTTAATCTTAATTTTAAACTATTTTATTCGTGTATCATGATCCATCTTGAAACTATAAATTTTAACGCGTTATGTCACATCTACAATGCAACACACATACAATCAGTTGTAAAAGTATTTACTAAAGAACTGCAAATTTGAAAGTAACTCGAGGAATGATATGATCGTGGCGAAGGAGTTTAGTCTAACTTATTAAACTAGTCAATACATTATTTTTCTAAATTATTGGGTTCTCTCAGCTAATGTTTAGCATTTTACTTTTTTATTGAAAATTTTTTTACAACCTTATCATTATCCTTAATTAATATAAAATTCTTTTATATTTTTTTATCCTTATATATTTTTTTATCTTTAATTAATATAAAATCTATTGTTATCACATTATGCGTTTTATTATCTTTATGTTTGGCTTATTTATAATTGATAGTAAAAGAAAAAAAAAATGTTATTCATATATTTGAATTGAAACTCAAACGAATATTAAAAATTAAAAATGTTGATCAACTAAAATATTAATAATTTTCAATTTTATTATAAAATAGTGAACTTTTCAATTTTTGCTCCTTGAAATTTTGTCATTTTTTGTCATTTTAAATTTATTGCCAATGAAACCATTATTTTTATCCAACAATTTCTCTTTCAACCACTATTTAAAAAGCTAACAGCTAACCGCGAATATCATCTACCAGCTAACATTTACTAAAACAACTAACAAATATTAAAACAGCTAATATTGCCGAATATTATCTGTATTTGACAGTAACTTTTTAAGTAATTTTAACGTTTTGACCAGTAACATAACATTTGAATTAACCTTTAAAAGTTAAAGCAGCATTTGATAAAAAGTTAACTTATATAACTTTTAGCTTAACATTTGAACTAACCGTTTTGACCAGTAACATAACATTTGAATTAACCTTTAAAAGTTAAAGCAGCATTTGATAAAAAGTTAAAGCAGCATTTGATAAAAAGTTAACTTATATAACTTTTAGCTTAACATTTGAACTAACTTTTAGAAGTTAAAATAATGTTTAATAAAAAGTTAACCCATATAACTTTTAACGTTAACATTTCATAAAAAGCTACTCAATCAGTTAACTCCTAAACTCTACTAACATAATTAAAAGCTATCAAAACAGCTAATTTTGCCAAACAGACCCCTTAATCATCGGTAGGATGGAGAAGCTTATTCAAAGAATATATATATATACACACGAAAAAAAAGTGACTAGACATAACTGAATTCTCCAGTAAATTCCACAGATTATTTGTAACGGTTAAAAATATAATTCATAGCTAATTTAAAAAAATAATAAAAAAAAATGTGCACATGAATCCGCCAGTAACAAATTCAAGAGGATTTGATTTAAAAAAAAAAATTGAAATTAGTCAATCAATAAACTAATACTTGTTAAGCAATTAGTGGTGGAAATGTTAGCTAAAGGAAAAGTACACATAAAAAATATGGAAAAACACCTTAATTTGATTTGACTTGACAAATAAATAAATAACTTTTATGAGACTGATAATAATTGAAAAACGGACCGACAATTTAATACAACTTTTAGCAGCAATCAAATTTATTCTCTCAATTAATTTATTTTCTAATATGAATTTCACTCTCCTAGTCTCAGATTTTAGTTTCTTTTTTTCTTTTTGGGTCACTCTGTGAATAGTTTTTCATTATCTTAATTGAAAGTAAAGAAATGAATAATCTTTGAAAAGTATTTTTCTTTTTCTAATAAAAGGGAGGAAATTAACCGAATAAACACTTAAACATGAACAGTTCTTGGCAAAAGAGTCCCAACCAGGAAATTATATTTAAACACAAATTATTTTACTATTAGAAAGTAATATTTGTTTCACTAATGTCATGTTGAGAACTAGATAAAAATAACCAAAAATACTAGCAGCATTTCCCATTACATCACTGCATAGCAGAGAAAGAAATCCGCCTATGGCTAACTTGACATACTCCTGCAAAACATATATATATATATATATATACACACACACACACACTGCTCAAATTCAAAGCAGTTAAATAAAACAGATAGATAGCTGCAAATTCTACAAACCCCTAATACCAGGAACATCAATCCACTGCAACTGGAGCTCTACTTCACCACACTCCACATTTCGCAATCGAAGAATAATATTTTGAATCACTTTCCCCTCAACCCAGATAATCTGGCTTTCATCAGCAAGGCAATTTTGTCTGTTCGGTTGAATTCTAGTTATTATGGTTCCGCTTGGAAGGTCTTCGAGTCGCATCTTCACAGCTTCAAGAAATGGACGGATATCAAACTCTGCATCTCCCATTTTGTCATCTCTGCTGAATGTGTCTTTGTCGTAAACAACCTGTATTTTCAAATAAAGAAGCAATGGAATTCAGGCAGCAAGCAAATATAACTATAACATAATAAACCTATTCTGTAGTAAACCAAAAATAACGGATAAGCTTTAACTCAATTGTACTAGTGTCACAAACACCCTGCATTTTCAAAAAGAGGCACTTTCATTTTAATTATATATGAATTCAGTTCAGGGAACAGCAAATTTCACAGTTAATCGTTCACCAAGAGATTTTCCCGCATAACTAAAACAAAACAAATTTTGTTCTTTGCGTGCAGTTACAAGGTTGTGTCTCATTTCTCAAGTTAGCCTAGGCTGTAAACAGTTGATCTCAACAGAGATCGAGCTCAGCTTGTTAGAGGTTTACTCAAGCTTGAACTCAGGACATTTACTATTTGAAGTTTTAAAAAAAATTGTAGCTCATTTACAAGCTCAAACTCGAATTCAAGCTCGGCTCTTTAAACTGTTTTTCCTGAGCTGAGCCTCTAGCAACTGATGGGAGCTTGGCTCATTTACAGTCCTAGTTAGCAATAGACAGTTAAATTAATTGAATTTGAGAAGCCGAAAGGGTTAAATTTGACTCTAATTAAAAATAAAAGGCTTAGTTCACTTTCAGCTGAAATTTTAGGGGCTAATTAGAGCTTTTGGCCAAAATTCCTTCATGATTATTCTATTTATAGCAAGCTAAACTGAAGATTTAATAATGTATATATGTACATAAAAATTCATTTCTTCTTTGCCAAGATTTTCTATTCTTGTTTTTAACACTTTGATTGGTAGAATCTATCCATCTAGGTCAAGATTAGCAAAAGATTGAGGATATGAATTACTTACGAGCTAAACACACAAACAAATCTATCAAAACTAAGACATGATCAAATGAATTGTAATACTTACAATCTTGATTGGAAGATTTGGATTCTCAATTGAGAGAGTCAAATCCTCATTCCACTCAGGATTGACATTTTGCTTCACCACTCGAGTCTTCAATTTCTGCAAAAACAATATATATATATATATATATATAAATTAAAGGTATATATTAAGAAATTAAATTCAACTCAAACTAAACCTGAAATTTACAAAATTGTGGAGATTAATTATATTAGTTCATTTCCTCCATCTCATCCAGCTCAGGAAGTAAGCAACACCTTACATGAAGTCAAACAACTTTTTATGTACTTTATATTTATAGACATCTTTATTCTCACAATTTACTATTATTGTGTGTTTTTTTTTTTTTTTTTTTTTTTTTTAGAACATCTTTATTCTCACAATACTATTATTGTGTGTTTTTTTTGTTTTTTTTTTTTTTCTAGATCTTTGATCCTTTGTCAGATTGATTCTTTTCTGGTTTGGGCAGATTTTTTTTTTTTTTTTTTTTTTTTCTAATCTTTGATCTTTTGTCAGATTGATCTTTTCTGGTTTGGGAGAACCAAACAGAATATTAGGCTCAGTAATTTTAATGCACCAAAATTAGACCTTCAAACTGGAAAAAGAGTTGTAATTGAAAAAGAAAGATCGGAAAAATAAAAAAATAAAACAAATTTTGAAGAGAAAATAATAGAAAAACAGTTCAAATGGAAAAATAAAAAAGAATCTAAAACTAAAAATTATTTTTTTATAAATGCAAGCAGATAATTAATTCTGACAATTCAATAAACCTTTGGAGTTTGGACAGTTACAGTAAGCAAAAGAAACCCATCTGTTATCAAAGAAAAGCAAAACCAAGAATTTCCATAAAGATTCCTCAAGAAAAAAAAAAGATCAGGAAAAAGAAAGCAAATAATTCTATAAACAATTACCTGTTTGCCCATCTTGACAACAACATAAGGGTCACTGCTCATGACATCTCTAACAGCGAGGTTGATTCCCCTGTGCACATGAATTCTGAGAAGACCCAAAATGTTTTCCATGGCAAAGATCAAGAGAAGTGTGTAGAAACAAGTAAAGAGAGAAAAGATGACAAGAAATGAATGGTTGATTTTGAGCTCTGAAATTGACCAAACGAACAAAAAGGAATACTTAGTAACGACTGTGGGCTTTTTGCGAGTGGTGATTGCTCTGATTTCCAGAAACAGGTACCGTATTTATATCCAGCGAACCAAACCAATGTTTTTAGGTAGCTTAACTTCCTATATGTAATCTTAAATTTATTTATTTATTTTTTGGATTAACTGTAAAAATCTTTATTATTTCAAATTAATCAAATTATTAATAAATAATAACTCTACATTTTGTCTCTTTTTATTTAACACAAGCAATTTTTAAAAATTTCTAGGGGAGAACCAATTTATTATCATATTCGGTTTTCAAGTCAATTAATATTTTTGAAATCAAGTTAATTTAATTTAATTCAGTTTGATTAGCCGAATACTCACTCCTATATTCACGACCATATCCATCTTATATCCAATTAGGAAAAGATAGAAAATTATAATATATGATAAATAATAATCATAATTTGAAAAATATATATTAAAATGAAATAAATCAAAACAGTTTTGTTTTATAATTAATTCAAGTCTTTGATTCTGATTCTTTTTGGATCTATTTATGCTTATTTCGTGGATTTTGTAAATCAAATTCAAATGGTATCCTGATTTTTTTTTTATTATAACAGAAAAAGGAAATAATTAATTAATAAACAATAATGACGCGTTTGTTTGGACTTTCTCCATTTGGAGTGAGCTAGTTTTGACTTGGCGAGAAATGGGTATTCAGGCATTTTGGGTCGGGTTTGTGCATTAATTAATGTTGTTAGCTTTGTGACTGGGAGAAGACAATGTTGACGGAAAGGCCAATATTAGGCTGCCGGATTTGGTTGACTCGTATGCTTTGTTCAATTTACAAGATCAAGTGAAACACCGAAATTGGCTAAAATAAATTTAATCATTTCGGTTCAATTGTATTCAATTTTTATGGTTTTGTGATTCAACTCAAAAGTTATTACTCGCTCTATTTTAAAAAAATAATTCATCTTTTTTTTTTGTTTGTTCTAAATATAATTTTACTTTCTTTTTTTTTATTATAGTTAATTTTTAAATTATTTATTTTAGCCTTATTAAATTTTATTTTATTTTAAATAACAATCATTAATTCTGAATTATTATTTCAATATAATAATTGCATATCTGTTTTTTTTAAGATTGATATAATAGAAAATTTATATGAATAAAATTGTCTTTTAACCATAATAATAACTGCTGTCTTAATTTGTGTGAAAATAAAAAGTAAATCTTCTTAGAATGAAGAGAGTATTACTAATAAGAACCAAAGCAAAATAATCAAATTAACTAATTTTTATCTAAACCAAAACTAAAATAACAAAATATTTCAATTTTCTACTCAACTTTTGATTTTTTATACTAAAAATTAAATAGACTAAAAATAATTGGAAATTTTAAAATTTATAAATCTAAATTTTGAATTAGAGCAATTGAGTAACAATTTTTTATTACAAATTATTAGTATTCCCTCCGCTGTAGGTATGCCTCTCTTTACTCGTAAAAAACAACTGTGATCGAGAGGACTCGAACTCAAGAAATCAACTAGACCACCACCTGTTTGACTCTTACACTATAATTTAAAAATTGAGAAAGTAAAGTATAAAATATTATTTCGTTTAACATCTAACTAAGGACAACAAGTAAAATAACTGATTATAAACGACATATACATGAAATGAAGTATAAATTAACGCGGAAAGAGTACCAAGTACCTGTCCAGTAGATACAACTGTCAACAAAGACAATTTTTTTAGTCTGTATCAAAATGTAGTAAGGTTTGTCTACTCTTGAAAAATTTTATTGAAAAATTATTGCTGTTTTATTTTTTTTCTCAATAAATAATTAAAAAAATATTATCGTGACAATAAAAATTTATCTTTGATTGATTTGGTGCATGAAATGGATTCATACACTTAGTGTAACTAAGTATTTTTTTTAAAAAAATGTAAATAGTGTCACGCTCAATCATCAGAGAAATTGTTCGCTTTCAATCAAGCTAATTCCATCCCATACTGGAATGACAAGACTCGCAAGGTTTTATCTCGCAAGTGAAATGTGAAACTTTCCAAGATATCAGCCATTCTAGAATTTTTGTTAAGGGAGCACACTTAGCCCTGAAGTTTTTCCAACTCCAAGTCATTCCACCAAAAAAGACGTCTCTGATGATTATTTTTTTCATTTTTGTTACCGATTCATTTATGTGTCATGCATTCCACTATCCATAGCTAGTCTGTCATCCTAAAAGTTAACTAAGAGTTTTGCTCTATCTGCTCTTTTAAGATCACTTTGCCGGGTCGAAATGTCACATATGAATATTAATTTCAATTTCATAATTTTGTTCAATCTGAATTTTCTTCAATAACTTTTGATTATTATCATAAAAAAATTTATAGGCAACTAAAGTCTTATAATGTCAATCAAATGTAGTTTAGTTAATCTTTTAAAAGATACAGTAGTGAAAAATCTCGAGTTCGATTTCTCTCCACTGCAAAAGTTATTTACCAATTTGATGAATATTATCTAAAAGGGAGCACAACTCTTATTTTATAGCCTACAATGTTATTCTAAGTATAAAAAAAGAAAAAATAAAGTCGGATACTGAAGCAGTAAGAACAAAAACATTCAAATAGATTTTCTTTCCCTGTTATTCGTGTTTTGATATTCCTAAATATATCATATTGATATGAAAACATGTCTTGAAGATTTCTTGTAAAAATTATTTAATTTGGATGAATGTAGATTAATTCGAAAATCCCTAAAATATAAACGCCAGGAAAATAGAACTTACCTTAAATATGTTTCCGGATGAAAGGAAACACACATCTATGAATCATGAATATGTTGCAAAAGCAGAGACCTGCTAATTATTCATAATAATATCTCCTAGTTTTTTTTTTTTTTTTTTTTTTTTTTAAAAAAAAAATAATTATTCATAATAATATCTCCTAGTTTTTTTTTTTTTTTTTTTTTTTTTTTTTTTTTTTTGAAAAAAAAAAGTCTCGCTTAATTTTTAAGAAAAGATATGATGTTATTATATACTAATAGATATTATGAATTTGACATTTTTCTTATAAAAGTATAAGCTATAGTTTGCATATGTGAATATAAAGAAGAGTTGTTCATTAAAATTTAATGGCTGAATTCCTTCTGGTCAGGGGCTCTCTCTCTCAAAATCTAAAATCCAAAAGCTTTCTCTTTTCTTCTTCCACAATGGTCACTGCTCTCACCGATGGTCACCCATTTCTCTTATTTATTTATTTTTTCAGATCTGTATATAGATATGAGTTTTTATCACTAAAATATTGAGTTTATTGTGCCCATATATTGAGATTTTGTTATTAAATAGTTATTGCTATCACCGTTATAGTGATTTTGTCTAACATCTTTTATCATATGGATAGTTATATAAAAAGAAGCACGAATCTTCTTTCCAATAAGAGGAAGAAATTTGAAGGTAATCAGATCAGATTTATAGAAAGACTATAGAATTGAACAGTGGCCATGAATAGCCACCAGTGGAGCAAGTGATCGTTTATGGCACAAATATTATGCTCTATCAACTCGATAAGGTACTTCAAATCAATATTGTATTTGTGTTTTTTTATTCTTTATTTATATAAATGATTTATTATTAGATTTTCTGTATAAAAACATAGAAACATATTGATATGTATCTATGTCTTATTTGTACCCCATATCCATATACAGTTTTCCCTAGTTTGGTTTCTTCTTAAAAAATGAAATTTCTAGTTTATTTATTTTTTTTAAAATTTAACGGCTGAAATAATTATTTTTTACGAAATGACTAAATAGTTTTAACGTGTGTATAGTATATAGATATTTAATATATTTACCAAAGAAAGAGAAACTGAAAAGAAATTAGAAAGGCTCTTCAATAACCTTCACAATCTGATAGCTCTCTTTTAGCTGTTTTTGAATACAAACTGAGTTTGATTAACTAATGAAATGTTTAAATTTCATCGCTCAAATTTAATCGATTCTCAAATTTAATCAATTTAAATCATTTTTTAATTTTGCAAGTTGCTTGAATCTTATTTGTTTTGAATTTCATGTAAATGCAAATGAGTTTTTAAATTGGTTGGATTAAAATTGGGTTTGTGATTGGGACAAAAGTTACCAAATCATTGCAAAAAAAGTTTTATTTAATAATATTATAACTATTGTAGTAATTGTGAATTGTGTAGCAGTGACTACATATAAGTCGGTTTAAAGCAAAAGCATTCAAAAAGTAATTATTATATCTATTCTATAATATTTTAAAATTTTATATATTTTAAAAAAGTTATTAAATTTATCTAAATTACAATAAATCATTGAGTATATTGATTATCTTACACTTAATTTAATATTAATTTTCTAAAAAACCATTAAATTGAAGTAATAATTATTGGTTATATATAAAGGGAAACATGAAAAAAAAAATATTTATTACTCCTTAGAACCACAAACATAACAAATATTTTGAAATAATTTATTTTTTCAAATATAATAAATATTATGAAACGGAGATAATATTTAATTACCTATTAAATGTAAAATAATTAAAAAATTTTAATTAATTATTTAAATGCGAAATGTTAAGTGTGATAACCTTTCAAGAAATACTAACTTCTAAATGCTACTCCCTCTGTTTTTTAACACCGGTCATTTTAGGATTTTTTTATTTTATTTCCAAGTAAGTGACATGCTTTATTCAGTCCCATTACTAGTAATATTATAGTCCATGTTAAACTTAAACTCTATTTTAAATTTACTTAACCACGTGAAATATTACCTTTTCAAAAAAATAGGAACTTAGTGTTTTTGGTCTTTATTTTTATTAAAATTTAATATATTTATTGCTCTTCTTAATTTCCGTGTAAAAATTTTAAACCACATGTTTAAAAAAATATATTGTAAATAATATTTTGTCAAATAATATAATCAAGAAAAATGATTTATATGTAAAAATATAAAAATATATTAATCTGTACCGCTCTATAAAAAAATAGAAAAAAACGGTGGTTTGACATGAATAAAACACTAAACACGAACGGGATTAACTCAGGTGCACGTGCAGCCAAAGCCATGATCCATTGTTCATCGACTCTGTACATATTCCTCACGTGCTCTTCTCTCCTCCCCAATTCCCATCTTTAGTGATCTGTGAACGACAATTCCCAATCTCTTACAACCCGCCCCCTGAAAAAACACGCAAAGAAAAAATCCTCGCGTCGCTCTCACGGAGCCAACCGCAAAACACGCGAGAAAAAAAAAATTCAAAATTCTCTCTTTAGTCCACACTCCATACTCCGCACTCTACACTTATTCTCCTTTGTTCTTGTAATGCTCTGAAAATCCCTAATCTCTTTCTATTCTATTGCTGGTTCTATTTTATTAATTGTTACTAGTTCGAATGCTAACCATGTTTTTTCTATTTGGAAATCGGTTGATTATTTTGTTTTGTCGATCATTCTGCTCCAGTGCTGCATTTTCTTTCAGAATTGAATTCTTTGTTTTTTTTTTTTAAAATTTTTTTGTAACATTCCATGTGTAATTGAATTCTCAATGGCTGCATTCTGCTTATATTAGTAATTTTTTCAACATTTCTTACAAGTTTGATGCTATTTTTGAATTAAACTATCCGTTGTATCCTTAAACAGCTGAATTTTGGTTCTTTTCTTACTTTATTTTTTGCTCAATGGAATTATCTCATAAATTTTGTTTATTTGTGACTTTTTATTTTTGGGTTATTTTGCTTTTTAGCATTTGTAGGTAAATGATGATACTAACGCTGTGTTTTTTTTTTTTTTTTTTTTTATCATAAAATTATGATTGTTTATATATAATGTTGACTGTTTTTATTTATTGTGGGTTACTTTCTTGTGCTTTTTTCAGGCATAGTTCGTAGGTAAATGATGATACTAACGGCTGTGTGTTTTTGCTTTTTTCTTTTTTTTTCGTGGTTTATATTTTAGTTACCCAGGATCCAGTCAATATGGTGAAGATAGTTACAACAGGAGTAAAGGTATGCAAACTAAAACAGACTAGTTTTAATATTGGTTTTTTTTTTTTTTTTTTTTTTGGTTATTTTAGTTACAGGATCCATCAATATGGAGATAGGTACAACAGGGTAAGTATCAATAAAAACTAGTTTTATTTGTTTATTATTTATATATATTTTTTTAGGAGGTAAACCTGATACTGTGATGTGTTAAGGGCTAATGGGCTATGATAATCAGATTTAATACTTCTTTGGTAGGATTTTTTTCCCAATAACTTTAATTACTGTCTTTAAGCTACTATAAGATTAGTTAAGGATCTTTGGATGCTTACTTATCATTCTTGCTTCTGTTATGATCATTGTAGGTGTTGTATTGGAAGACAAGTACAGTGGCGTTCATTGAGTTTGCGAATGTTAGATTGGAAAAATCGACATAAACTTTATTACAATGCTATTGGCTGCAATATAAAGATGAGCTACCCAAGGTCATCTTATTCTCACCTACGATTTGCAGCAAAGCAGTGGATGAGCCATGAGTTATGGAGAACATATACCATCCCAGTTAGTTTCAAAACTTCTTCATCAATAAAATCAGAAGATGAAGAGAATGAATTTGTTGATTCACCAGAGGACCCACTTGCTCAACCATTGAGCAGTGATGAGGTAAGGTTATATATTATATCATTCTTTATTATTGATATCAAATGCATCATCTCTTATATTCTTAAACTTATATGGCTATTCTAGGACATATTGGGTATTGTTTGATAAAAGGGAAAAATAAACTGCTATTCAACAGATAGTAGTTTGCTTTTCATATCTAGAACTGGAATTGAATTATACTCATGCTTGATTGTAATGTATTTGAAAGAAACTTCCTAGGCTGTTATATGTATGTGCATACCATATAGGCACATGCTCATATTTGCTATGCACACGTACATATGTACATTTGCAACTTTTTTCCAATTCTGAGATGTACATTCTGTGAATTTCTAACAGTTGAAGTCACTGCTAGCTGATTCAGAAAGGCAAAAGCTCATTAGAAAACTAAGTGAAGCCAACCAACATAATAGATTCCTGAAACGACAGGTTTGTGTATGCTGAAATTTTGATATGTTTTTCATTATTACTTCTTAATTAAACTCTGATACAGTTGCGCATTCATAAGCTTTTTTTAGTGGTTGTATTGTAAATGCGTCATTAGGTCCAGTTCTATTTTATGACTTCCATTGCAACCTGTTCCACAAGAATTACATTTATGTTTGGCTTTTCAATGGAAAATTTGGCATCTTGTTTGCTCAACCATCATGGAGTTTTCATGTATGCACATAGGAAAAGCCAAATGAAATAAAGTTGAGTCATGACAAGAAATTACTTTAACTATTGACAAGTGACGAATTGATGAAAGGAAATGATGTGCGCTACAAAAAAAAAAAAAAAAAAAAAAAATTACACAAAGTTGAGTCATTGACAAGAAAATTTACTTTAACTATTGACAAAGTGGACGAATTGATGAAAAGGAATGAAATGTTGCCAGCACCACTCACCAAAAAAAAAAAAAAACAAAAAGGAAAAGGAGAAGAGATGAGGTACTGAAAAACCCTCAATTAAACCTCCTAGCATTTTTTGGAAATATTTGTTTTTCATTCCTTAAATTGGTATTATTTTATTTGATGTATAAGTCTTGTTCAAAAATGTATTGATTGTATTTCCCTACAGTTAAATAAGTATAATGAGTTTTTGACTTCATCATACCTATTTAATTATCTTATATGGATTCTTGGTAATTTAAATAGATTGTGTGGCACAGACATGGGTAAAGCGACATTCCTTGCTGGTGGCTAGCAAATGGGTCAAGAGACGATTTTGCAATTAATATAAAGACCTTAAGATGTAAGATCGTGCTTTTTTTGCCCACTCTTTCCTCCACAGCTGCATGTAAAGGAAGATGCTTTGGTTAACTGGAAAAGTGAACTTGCTCTGTAATGGAACTTGAAATTCAGGTTTCTCACCTTAATACCATTTTCACCAGTAAGTTTCCCTTTATCACAATGCATTTGTCATATCCTAAAAATCAGTAAGATGCATCAAATTAACTTCATTACCGAAGAGAACTAGTCCATTCAACAGAAAGGATGTGCTTTCCTCCTATCATCCAATGGTAGAGCAAGAATTTTCATTAATCAGCTAAAGATGGCAAGGGTTTCGTAAGACCAGATTATTTATTTTAATGGTGTATGAAGAATTGGGCTTTAGGAGGCATGAGAGAGGGCCCATTGAGAAAGTGATTAGGTTCCTTTCAGACTTTCCTAAATGGGGTATGTGAATTGAACCAATATGTCAAAAATGAAAAACACATTTTTTTTTTCTGTAAAAAGTAACATGCGCTCTATATATCGGCTAAGAGAGAAGAAGAAGAAATAAGGAGGGAAAGAATATAAGTTCAAAATTCTCTTTCAAATTAGGGAAGTTTGGCAAATAGAAAAAGCTTTCCAACAGTTGATATTCAGTGGAGGGAAAGATAATTTTTAAATTATTCCTTTTGTATCCAAACATAAGTAGAAAAGTAACGCTTATCAAAATTTGGTCTTCATATCCTTATTTATATCGCCTTAGTTTCTTTCCCTCCCTCCCTCTTTTGGTCCAAACAAAGTGCTAAGGTAACGCACAAAATACTCGTATGAGCATAGCCCGTTGCTATATTATCATGTCTTAAAAAAAAAAAAAAAAAAAAAAAGGAAAGGAAAGAGATGAGTACTAAAACCTCAATTAACCTCCATAGCATTTTTGAAATATTTAGTTTCATTCCTTAATTTATTATTTTATTATGTATAGTTTGTTCAAAATGTATTGATTGTATTCCTACATTAAATAAGTCTATTGTTTGACTTCATCATACTATTATATTATCTTATATGGATTCTTGTAATTTAAATAGATTGATGTGGCACAGACATGGGTAAAACATTCTTGCTGGTGCTGCATGGTCAAGACATTTTGCCTTAATATAAAGACCTTAAGATTAACATCTGCTTTTTTTGCCCCTCTTCTCCACAGCTGCATGTAAAGGAAGATGCTTTGGTTAACTGGAAAAGTGAACTTGCTGTAATGGAACTTGAAATTCAGGTTCTCCCTATACATTTTCACAGTAGTTTCCTTATCCAAGCCATTGTCATATCTAAAAATCAGTAGATGCATCAAATTACTCATTCAAAAATAGTCATTCAAATGAAGATTCTTTCTCTATCATCATGGTAACAAGAATTTATTATCAGCTAGTGGCAAGGTTTGTAGACCAATTATTTATTTATGGTTATGAAGAATTGGCTTAGGAGCATGGAGCAGGGCCCATTGAGAAAGGATTAGGTCTTCAGACTTTCCTAATGGGGTTGTAATGAACCAATATGTCAAAAATGAAAAACACATTTTTTTTTCCTTAAAAATAACTCTATAGGCTAAGAGAAAAGAAAAATAAGGAGGGAAGAAATATAAGTTTCAAAATTCTCTTTCAAATTAGAAGGAAAATAGAAAAAGCTTTAACAGTTTATTAGTGGAGGGAAAATAATTTTAAATTCCTTTTGTATCCAAACATAAGTAAAGAAAGTAACGCTTATCAAAAATTTTCTTCTTCCTTATTTTCCTTAGTTTCTTTCCTCCCTCCTTTTGTCCCAAACAAAGTGCTAGGTAACCACAAAATACTCGTATGAGCATACCTTCTATATTTATCATGTCTTAATGTATCACAGTTTTGCTTGTCATTTAATTCATTCTTGCTAATTTTCTCATTTACCTCGTTGCACATACTTTCGTGCCCACATGAAACATTTCATAATCATAAGCTTTGTTATACTCCTTTGCACGTGGGAAACCTCCCAACTCCATTTGTGCACTTTTAGCCAAACTCTTTACTTTTAACATATTAAGCCATGAAGTTAGTTCTCTCTCTGTGTGTGTGTGTGTGTGTGTGAACTGAAGTGAGTTGTGCAATCATGGTTGGTAAATGAGCCGTGAAAGAGCTTTTCCTCTGTTCCCAAGAAATTAAGACTTAGATCCACATGATGCAGGAATGCTATTTTATATGCAATTTACAAAAAACCATAATTGGTTGATAGCCAAAATATCGCTCATATTTGAGTTTCAACTGAGAATTTTCAATTATCATAGTCCTTATCATAAGATGTTGAAATATGCCATTACTACATCTATTTAAACTTACCACTTTGGTCATTGTAATACTTGGGTACAAGATGTCGCGAAGATTGAAGAATATGTGACTCAAAGAAATCCTTGTGTAGAGGACTAGTGACTAAGATATATGTCAGGTAACAGTGGGCTCTGGGCTTGGAATCTTGTCATTGTCCTGGAAAATCAAATGGGTGCTAAAATAGTGTTTCATGGACATGTAAGTTATTTTATCGTCTTTGGATTCATGCCATGCATTACAGACAAACTCAGTTGAAGGATCTTGCTGCATGTTGGAGATTTGAGGTCGCTGATACCAAGTTGTTAAGGATCATAGATTATGGATCCTAACTGTTCATATGAGAAGATCATAATAATGTTTGGAAGGTGAGAAAAGAAGACAAAATAGAAGAATAGAGAAAGGGAAAGAGAGAGAATAGAAAGAGAGGATTTCTATATTCATTCATTCATTAACCTTAAACATCACAATACAAGAGTATATGTATGTGCCTGCTGATGTAGGGCACAGTCAGCTAAATATGCCACAACAGTTTATATCTCAGCAAAGAATTAATACCAGTTCAGTACCTAATTAATTAATTACAATGAATTTTCCAAAATCAATACTTATTATATCCTAATATAGTCCTGACAGATGACCTTCTGATATGATATGTGGGAACCACTGGGTGAAAATTATGTGTGGGTTTGATCGAGTTGCTAGGGCTATTCTGTTTCTCATGTATGGTTCCTGCAAAAAAAAAATACTCGAGGAAAGGTCAGAATTGAGGTGGGGAATTCTGACAAGCCAATTCCAATAATGAAGTCTGATCTGTAAGGTTTTTCTCATATAGGGATAAGAAGAGCATCCTTGTACAAAGGTTAATAGACTGGATAGTTGGCTCTGTAATGTACTATGTTCTTGCAACCTTCTCAGTTCTCAGGAGATGGAACCACATTTTATGCTCAGGTGGTCTGGTAAAGAGCATTTGAATCAGGCATGTGGTGAAACTTTGAATATGAATGAATACTATTTGCTTTGAACCTGTATCCCTGTGGATGCAGTAACTTCAGTTTGGAAATGGATAGGCTCCACTAATTTTGGACTTCTGAACCTTATCTGCAATGATTATTAATGTGAAGATAGTTATTCTTCATTAATCATCTGATATTTTAGTGTCGAGTATGCGATCTTACATGATATCCTTCGTGAATGGTATAAACCAAATACCATAATGAGAATGTTTCACATCTCAGAGGAACTATTCAGAGCCCCTAGTGACTAAGGATGGTGCAGTTTCTGTTGATGTTAATCTTCACCGGTCAAGAACATGGTGCGGGATTTTTTTTTTTTAATCGAAACTGTGTGTCTGACTTATAGGTATGTGTTGTTTAGTTTTCACATGTTCTGCATTTGAGTTTCATTTTCTTGGTATCAAGGTAAGCATCTGTTGCATGTATTAGTGATACAACTAATTCTAACATTAGTTCCTTAATTTGTTTGGGATAGACAGGCTTTAGTTACATTGGCAGACGAAATAGCTAAATCTGTCATTCCAGAAGGTTCAAGAAAGATAAATGGAAAATACATTCAATCTCACCTCCTTTCACGTTTAGAAGGTATAATGATTTTTGCTTGTAATCTTATGTTGATAGGTTTTTTGCCCTTCTTATATATGTTTTTATAACGGTGGAATTCTTTCATAAAAGTTGTGATATTCTTTTAAGACAAGAAAAAATCATACAGCCAAATGCAAACTCTTAGACATTCAAGTTCCTCTTCTCTACTTTTACTTTCCTTGTTATTTAGTGTTTTCATTAATTTTTTACCCCCTACCATCTGCTTCTGGCGATCTACGGACTTGAATACATGGATTTCGGGTTTATGATACTGTATTTTAAAGGCCCAATTTAAAGAGTTGATTGGCAAGTTGGACCTGCTTGTGTTTCTATCTCAATTTGTTGGTATCCATTTGGATTTATAATTGTCTTGCTTTTTGACATGATAGACTGAGTTTAACAAGTTTGTTGGATGTTTTGTTCCAATGACCTTTTTCCATTCTTTACCTGACTATCCTTTCTTTAATGGTACTGTGAAGGTGTGCATGAAAAATTAAAGGAGCAAATAAAGGACGTTGATGCTGCACAGTCCAGGGAGGTTCACTTGTTCTGGTGTGGCATGGCAGAGGTAAGCATACTTTCATAAGCATAAGAAATATTTCCTTACTCATATAGGTTAGCAAACTTTTTTTGAGTGATTTGTGCAAATGTATGGAATAGGAAAGAATTGGTCTGTATGAACTACTTTCTGCTCCATTTGTTTTGTGGAAAATAACTATCTCTAGAAAATAATTTTTAAGGAAAACATTTTCTGGGAAATATTTTTCAAAGAATTCATTTTCTGTCTTATGCTTATAATATTGAAAATTAGTTGGACAATGTTGAACATCTCAATTTACGATCATGAAAATTTTTGGACCTATTATAACTTTGTAATTTCTTTCAATATGTTAAAAAAGTACAAAAACAATAAATTTTGGTGGTCACAGATGATTGTGGTCGAAGGTGGCTGATGGTGATGGTAATGGTTATCATTGATTATTAGAAGATTAATAATGATATTTATATGATTTCCTCTCATTATAATGAGGTTGCGGAAGTTCTGAAAATTACTTTCCCTTTTTAAGAGATGTAGGTTATTTTCCTTGAAAATGACTTAATATTTTGGCGAAGACATTTTTTGTTGATTAAGTTTCCTAAGCATTCCAAATGCTAGAAAGTAAAAATATTTTACTTGAGCGATTCTTGTTCTAACATAGAAGCTGATCTGAGCATCCATCCTGAGTCGCCAGTTAATTTTAGATAATTCAAGAGACATTCTATTCTCCATAAAACAATTGGAGCTTGTCCTTTCTTTTATCATTATAACCTGAATTACCTAGCCTTTGGCTTCAACTCTTGCCTAGTTTGATGACTTAGAGAGGTGAGGTCATAGGTTAAATTGATGATGATGATGGTGATGTGTGCTCATATGAGACGCGTGAGGATGTCTATTCAATATTTCAGCCCTTTCCACTGGATTATGATAATATCGTTCCTTTTGTTTTGCATGATAAGTATCCTTGAACCTTTGATCTCATACACATTAGAAAAAGTATTATACAAATATAACATAAAGTGATTTGCGAATAGTTTTAAGAGCTCTAGAAGCTTATTTCTTTTCATATCTCTCTCTTGAGCGATCATATGAAGGAACCATTGCTTGGTATTGATGGTAACTTTTGGTTGTGAATTGCAAGACCTACAGATTGGTTGACAGTGGCCATCAAAATTTTAAGAGAGTGGAATCCTAGCAAAACATCTCTTCTAGGGGTTGTCGAGATAAGTCCAATACAACATTATGGCTACAGCTGAGGCCTATGAAAGCGGGTCAGAATCCTAGACCTGACAGAGGACAACTCGCTGGCTATTAAGGCTGGGTTTTAAATTATTTGAAAACTTGAATGTGTAGAAAATTCGATAGGCAGTTTGGGTTTGTTGAAGGGTGGAATTGTAATCTAAACTAAACAAGAGAAAGTGTTGAAGAGGCTGTTTGCATAGTAGAAAAACATTTGATTATGTTATATTCCATTCTGACTTATCAAATGCATCTCAAAAAAGTGTGTAGGTTTTAACCAATGTGCAAAAAATTATATGCTGAGGATTAAGTTTAAAATGCATAGCAAGATTGCTAATGACATTGAACCATTCTTTGATTGAAATGAACTCACAAGTGACAGATTTTCTTTGCCTCATCTTCAGTTGGAATCTCTACTGTACTTGGTATAGCACTCGAACTAAGTTTTCAGAGATTAGTTTTAACAGTAGATGAAACTTCATCTGTTTTCAGGATGTACAAGTAATGGGCAGCTTTGACGGTTGGAGTCAAGGAGAGCACTTATCACCAGAGTATGATGGTTCCTTTACTAAGTTCACAGCAACATTAATGCTTAGACCGGGAAGGTATATTAGTGAGCATTCTATTAATTAGTTGGTGTTTCTGATGATCTTATTCTTCTTGTTTCATAACCCATCATTATACGTTGTCAAAGGTACGAGATAAAATTCTTGGTGGATGGAGAATGGCAACTGTCACCTGAATATCCTGCCGTCGGTGAGGGACTAACCAAAAATAACTTGTTAATTGTTGAGTGATCCAGTTAAGATGTTAAACAATTTAGACTTGCATCTTAGTATGAACTGCTTTCTCTTGATGCATTTTTTATTAGCTTAGCTTATTAAATAGTTTAATTTAATTGAAATTTGCAGCTGAGTTTCATTCTCCATACTATAACTGGAAATGTATATGTTTTTGGTATAGATGAATAAAGGTTAACTAATTATTTAGTCTCTGAGTTTTAGTCTTAATTACAACTTCATCCCTTTTATTTAGTAAATACAATGATCCATGGGACTTAGCTCCATTGAATTATTTAAGAGTTAATACGCTCTAATATGTGACTATTTAGTCTTTTAGTGTATTTAGTTTCTTATATTTTTTTATTAAATTACTATTTAGTCTCGGTTAAATCTACGAAAATATCTTTAACTGTACGATTTGTTGCAAAATAACTCTAATTTAACTTTATGTATTTTGAGCACTTTTATTTTAAAATATAGACATATTAACATCCATTTTTAAATTGGGATCAAAATTGAAATAAAATAATATTATTCTGAGACCACAATTTTGCCATGGGTTAATTTAACTCGAGATCAAAACACACCGATTCAATAAAACAGTTACTCCCCCAGATTACCCTCTCTCTCCAACAATTCCTTTTCTAAAAATCTCAGATCACTACTGTGTCTCAAAGCCCAAATCTCTTGCTGCTCTTAGCTTTGGTAGTCTAGAATATCCTCCATTGTAGACCACCATCATCACCAACATCGGCCTCATCGGATCTCCGAGCCTCCACGCACCACCAGTTTTGCCACAACCATCACGAACACTTCATCTTGGAGACCTTGCCTATTCATATTACTCCATTTGTTGTCTTTTTCAATTTGTTGCTGATTTGAAAAGGCATAATTTTGGCGCAACTTAGAATAAAAATTACAATTGTGATTGTGTACCTAAGGATTGGGGTACACTTCAGCAATTGGATGAAAAAATGGATTCACTTGATTTCATCGTTTTATATAATTGTTTTGTTGTTTATTTCTACTGCTGTGAGTATGTTTGAGAGGGATAGAAAACTCTTGTTTGAACGGGATAAGGGAAAATTACTATTTTATCCCGAGTGTTGACATAGTCATTCCGTCCAAAAGGTGTTTGATTTTCTGTTAATTTTATATAAAAAACACAAAAAAAGACCCCTTATTGTGGGGCCCGCAAATAACAAAACTCATAGCAAAACCCTAAACTCATCCCCCTCCCCGTCGCAGAAGCAACGATCTCGCCCCATCCCCTCCAATCGATTTTCCGACCTCTAAATGGTCGGCGGAAGGTGGCTATTGAACCTTCAGGCACCTATAATCACGCCAATGGTCTTTCTTTCACTGAACGAAGCCCTTATAGCGTGAATCAACGCTCTCCATCTTGCGGCGGCGCCATGCCTTCCGATCTACTTCCGCGAGTTCCAAAGAGTCTGTATCTACTTGCGGCGGCGTCATCCCTTTCGTCTACTTCGGCGAGTTTTAGCGAATCTGTATTTACTTACGGCGGCGCCATCTTTTTCGATCTACTTCTGCGAGTATCATTACGGTTTAAAGTGTTGCCATCATAGCTGCCTTGATTTATAGTTTCTAGAAGTGGAGAGCCAAAAAAAAGGTTATGATAAAAGGTGAGAAACTGAAAGGCTGCTACTTTACTTATTGATTTATAGTTTCATTGATAGCTATTGTTGCTCTGAATGGCCGAGCTTCTTGTTTTGAATTTTGTTCTTTGATTTGGTGGCCGGTTGGGTTTGGAGAAAGCGAAGGAAAATGGAGTGGTGAGGGGTGGAGGTGACTAGGTGAGTGTAAGTGTGAGGAGAGGGATGAGAGGAGACGGTGGCGGGTCTAGCAGAGGAGGGAGCGGCAGAGGCGGTGGAGGTGAAGGAGTTCGATCAAGTTTTCTGAGAATGGACGTCATTTCCGTATAATGATTTTTTTTTTATTTTTATTTTTCGGGTTCCACAGAATTGGTTTTTTGGTCTTTTTCGTGTAAAATTAATGGAAAATCACTTTTTGGAGGGAATGGCTATGTCGAGGCGGAGTCAAATCTTAGGAATGGTCGAATAATTCAAATAATTTGACCAAAATTCATGAATAAAGTTATTAAGCAAGTTAAAACTCAGGAACGAAATAGTAAATTTCCCATGGGATAATGCTAGTGTTTCTATTGGCAATTTTGGTTGGCCATTAGTTAATACTGCTCTTTTTGAATTACTTTTGAGTGAGAATAATATTGATAAGATAATGTATTTCTATAACAAAATTTTTAGAAGGGTAATGGTTGAAGGCAGAAAGGAAAATTTTGGAAAGCAAATTGTTTTATCAAAAAGGTGTGTTTCAATCCTTCGGGTTAAGTTAACTCAAGTCAAGCTACAAGTCCCATATTATTTTATTCTAAATTCTAGTCTAGTTCTAATATATTTATATTTTAAAATGGGGGTGTCCGAAGTATAAAAGTCAAATTAAAATGATTTTTGCAACAAATCATATAATTGAGGATATTTTTATAAGTTTAACCATTTAGTCTTTTATTTTCACTCGACATTAAAAACGATACATTTTTTAAAGGAAAACCAATAGTTTATCGAACCTAAACATTTGCGACTAATCAATATATTTACCAACAAGTGAGATGAAGTTGTAATCGTGACTAAGCGGATTAAATAATTAGTTGATCTAAATGATGATGGTTTACCTACACATATGGGTACATGAAAAAAAAAAAAATGTCTTATTAATGTTTATATTTTTTAACTATTTAATAAATATTTAATTATTCAAATTTTGCAAATTGAGATGTTCAATAAAAAAAAATTTTAAGTTGAATTTTTAAATAAGTGCAATTGTTTAGATTTAAGTATTTGATAAGTAAAAATAAAAATTGAGAGTAACATATTTGTTTAAATACAATAATATATTTATGCATTTACTGAAATTAATATCTGTCTTAATTGTACAAAGCGTGATAGTGCAAGTTCACTATTGATTATTGATTTCTTGACCTTGCGTTGCATGCCTCTCGTATTTTTAAAGAAAATGATTAAGTTAGGGTCCTAGCAAGTGAATTTTTATATTAAAGAAGTTAAGTCGACAAATTAACTGCAAAAGTGTCTCCGTTCTTGTACATCCATCGTACCAATCTTACATATAGTAAAATTAATTATTTTAATAACCGTTTAAAATTGTCTTAATAGCTAATTTTTTTCTTTCTTCGTATTTTTGTTAACGCAAATCTCATATACTATGTTATAAAATTAACTATTTGTATAATATTCGATAGTTGTTATATTGATTTTTTATCAACCGTTAAAAGGGAATAATATTTTATAATTCATCGTGTTGACCTCTATTATAAACGCTGTGACACTGAGCACGTAAATATAATGCTGGACTTCAATACTAATAAATTTAGTTGGCTTATAACATGTTCTTCAATAGGTATTTAGGTTGTTATAACGGTGTTAGTGTTTGAAAGGGACTGTTATACAAAAGGAATGACGATAAAGATACACTACATAGGTATAAAATAAGAATACGACTTTATCACCAAAAATAATTATTGTTCAATTTTTAATCTTAAAATAATAGGGTTAGTTGAAGGCGGCAACTGCTTTATCATTCATGGAAGGAGCTGGTTGTGTTTACACCTCATGTATTTCTGGAGCTTTTTAATTAAGTTAATTATTCTAATTAAAATAATTAGTTTACATAATTTAATTTGGCTTGATATGTTGTAGTGAGCCCATCAATTATGAAAGGCATATTAAATTAAATAACTACTAATTAATGAATTTTAATTAATTAATTAATTTAGTTAAACAAAGATAAAATAACGAGTTAATTACTCTTTTGCCTCCATAATTAATTATTTTATTTCCGTAAATGGTTTTATCCTTAATATTTGATTCTGTCAACTATTTTATCATTTTGTCTATTTTTTATCTTTTCCGTTAAAAACCTTTGAAATAATTAATATTTTTATTCCTAAAAAATACGAGGATTGAATAGTTAATTTTGACAAAAAAAAAAAAAAAAAAAAAAAATCTCATATACTATGTTATAAGGAAATATAAACTAATTTGTATATATTACGAAATAGTTGTTATATTGATTTTTTAAATCAAACCCGTTAAAAGGGAATAATAACTTTATAATTCACTCGTGTTTGACCTCTATTATAAACGCGTGTGACACCTCGGAGGCGCACCGTAAGTATAGGTATGCTGGCGACTTCATACTAAATAAATTTAGTTGCTTAATAACATGTTTCTTCACATAAGGTATTTATGGCCTTGTTATAGACGGTGTTTAGATGTTCTGAAAGGGACTGATTTACTAAAAGGAATGAACGATAAAGATACACTATCTATAGGTATAGAAATTAAGAATAAGAACCGACTTTATCACCAAAAAAATACATTATTTGTTCAATTTTTAATTCTTAAAATAATAGGGTTAAAGCTTGAAGTGCGGCAACTGCTTTAATCATTCATACTAGCGATGTAGGAACAGGAGCGCTGGTGTGTTTACGAACCTCATGTATCTCTGGAGCTTTTTAATATGCTAAGTTCAATTATTCTAATTAAAATAATTAGTTTACATAATTTAATTTTGGCTTGAATATGTTGCTGTACTGAGCCATCAAGTTATGAAAAGGCATATTAAATTAAATAAACTACTAATTAATGAATTTTATTAATTAATTAAATTTAGTTAAATCAATAGATAAAAATAACGAGTTGAATTACTCTTTTTGGCCTCCATAATTAATTCATAAATTTTATTTCCGTAAGATGGTTTTATCCTTAATATTTGATTCTGTCAACTATTTATCATTTTGTCTATTTTTTTTATCTTTTCCGTTAAAAAACCTTTGAAATAATTGATAATTTTTTATTTCTAAAAAACATACGACGGATTGAAATAGTTTAATTTTGAACAAAAAAAAAAAAAAAAAAAAAGACAGTAAGTATTTCCTAGGAATTGTTTCAAATGGAAAATAACGAATAAAATAAAGATAGAAGGAGTAAAATATATCGCATATTCTTTTAAAATATAGGAATTAAAGTAAGTTAATTATATAAAATAAAAAAAAAAAAAAAAAAAAAAAGACAGTAAGTATTCCTAGGTTGTTTAATGGAAAAATACATAAAATAGATAGAAGGATAAAATCTATCTATTTTTTAAAATATAGGAATAAAGTAGTTAATTATATAAAATATATGGATAAAATAGTAATTATCTTAGAACAAAATAGTGAGGGATTAGCTTTAAATTGTAGAGTTGGTTATAATTAATTCATGGAGAAAGTTATGTATTCTTCAACAATGTTCAGAACCTACAGAGTTTCAAAGGAGTGAAGAAGAAGATAGAATCCAAAATCTTCCAAAAAGACTATAAAATGAAAGGACAAACACAACAACCCCCAACACGTCAACAACATTTTCAATTTCAATTAGGCATGCCAATTCCATCAAGTGGCAATTCCGGTTCAGTTTGAAATTTTTAAAATATTAAATTTGAATTAATATTAAATTATTGGTTTCAGTTTAATTTTAATTTTGATTTTTCATTGCGATCCGATTTCCCCGCAGTTTTAGCGATAAAAATATTGTTTTTTTCAAAAAAAATAATAAAAAATTTTAATTTAAGGTTACGTCTTCCTTCTGAAAAATAAATATGAATTTAAAAATATATAAATAAATTTTATTTTAAATAAATTTTATAGTACTTACATTCATATAAGAAATAAAATTTATTAAATTTATAAATAAAAAATTATAAAAAATAATCAAACAAATTAAGATTTTATTTATCCAAATATTATTAATTAAATAAATAGTTAGAAAAATTTAAAGTAAACAAATGTTTCAATATAATTTTGAACTAAATAAAAAAACTCTATTGAACAGGCATCTTACCAAACAATATAATTTTGAAATAAATAATTTATTTCTTTTCTTACTTTTGCTTTTTTTTTTTTAGACTTTTAACTTTTTAATTAGTCAAGTGTATCATATAATAGCAGTTTTCTTTAGTCTTTTAGTTGGGAATATGATAGATTAGGCAATTAAATTTTTTTAAAATAAAATAGAGCAGTTTGAACCAAATTAAAATACTCATTCTAAATGATTAATGTTATTTTTTAACATTAACATAAACTTTAATCAATTTATAAACCGCTGATCTTAATTTAAATTTTTAATTGATGATTTGGATTTAATTTTATTTTATATAAAATATAATTTGACTTTGATTTAATTTCGATTAGAACCAAACCAGTGATCATACTATAATTCCAATTAACATTTTTAATTCAGACGTGATTTATATTTCTGCAAATCCCCATTTTCCAAACATGAATATTTGATGATGCTAAAGACAACAAGGAGTAGGCTTTTTTCATAGGTTGATAGGGGCAGATTTAGCATGGGGTCAAGTGCCCCGTTGCCCTTAATAAAAATCCTTTTTTTTTAATTATTTAATAAAATTCTTTTAAATTATATGAAGAAAGATTAAATGATAATTTAGAAACATGCCTGAAATTTACTCACAGAGTATAACTCTCTCTATTGCATAAATATAGATATATTCTTTTTTCCTTTTTCTAAAATATAGTCTTACCTTTTTTTAAAAGAGAATAATACTCTCCATTTTTACTCTATTCCTATTCGATATGTATTTTATTAATAAATATTATTATTATTATTATAATTAATTAATTAATTAATTAATTAAATCTTGAAATAGATGTTTATAAAAAAAAAATAAATAGAAAAAACAAGAAAGCGAACCATAATCCATAGATGGAAGTGTTTCTCTATGTGCTTGGTTTCTCCTATTTATAGAGAAGTCCTTAAACTATACACCAACAGAGGTAGAAAAAACACTGAACAAATAACAAAAACACTTGGCAATTGTATCTCTCTCGATGCCAAGTGGTATATATACCCTAAACACTCATTTCCATTTTCTTTTTCTCTTTATATTCCCTCATCTCTAACCCTAATCCTTCAATTGTCTTTTTCCCATACTTCCTCTCTTTTGATGCTACTAGAAAAACCCACTAACCCTTTGATGAAATCTCTCCTCCTCCTCGTTTCATTTTCTTATAACCCAGCGGCGCGTGTTCTTGACGCGACCACTCTTTTAGAGAGAAAATGATGAAGAGAAATCTGATGGGTGAGAAGCTGATGTTGAATAGGCAAAAGAACAATAACAAGAAGAGTATCGATGAGAAGAAGAACAAGAAGAATAGGTTTTTGATAAGTGTAAATGTGATTGGAAGTGCTGGGCCTATAAAGTTTGTGGTGAAAGAAGATGATGATGTTGCTTCTGTTATTGACATTTCTTTGAAGACTTATTGTCGTGAAGGTCGTCTTCCAGTTCTTGGTTCTGATGCTAACAACTTCCTTCTCTACTGTCCAAAAGCTGGTTTTGATGGTAATGATCATTTTGGTTAAGCTTTTCTTATTCCTTTTTGTTTTTTAATAAAATGTCATTTCCTATATATTTGAAATGAGTTAATTGATGAGTTTTTCTTTTCCCTTTTGTCGTTATTAATTTTTTTATCCGAATTTCTTTAAAACGAAAAAAGAGATTAGGATATAATTTATTTATCTTGTAAACGTAACAAGACAAATTGACTGCTACTAAACTATTATTTAGCTCAACATGAAAAATGCCACTTCTTATACCGGCTCAAATTGTAAGATATAATTGAGTTGTGACGATTCCTGGAAAAAGCATTCGAGGGGGGAAAACTGTTAACTGATTTCTTTAATTTTTTCAAAATAGAAATTTTCGTGGGCAGTTCGTTTGTTGGTGTTCTTTGATTGTGATGGATTCTTGTTCCTTCTAGCAATGTTCAATCTTCTTTTAGAGAAAAAAGAACGGCATGAATGCTCCCGATCGGCATTAAAAAAGTAAAAGCAATCTGTTTCAAGTTATATGCTGCGGGCCGCGAGCTCTATTGTCCGCTATTTCTACTTGGTGAGGGGGCAGTGTGATTATTTTTCTCTAGAAGGCTGAAATACTTGTAGAAATACTTACAGGGACGTAGGGAATGGCTTTTCAATTCTCGGTTTATGCATAATTCATATTCCAAATTAGAGATGAAATTAGAATTTAAAAGTAAGAGATAAAATATTACTATAAAATATTACTATATATTTTTTTTTTTTAAAAAGAGAAGGGGAGCAATTGTCCCATTCTAAAAAATGTAGCTTCGAGCTCCTCCAAACCGATCAAAATTAGTTTTTTAAATTAAACTCATACACTGCATGTAGGCAAGTCTTATTCATATGTACTATGAATAATATATTCATCTTCCATACACTCAATCAATAATAATTATTATTATTTAAAAGATCATCATTTTTTATTACTAATTTATCTTTTTTTTTTCTCTCAATTAAAAAAGAAATACTCATATTTTTTTATTTGTGGTAATTATTATTGTTAAATATACACATATAGCGTAAAACATTTCTGATTTATATTTCATTCTTTCTAATACTATAATTAACCAATGTTTTGGAATTGTTTGTGAAGCTATGAAGCCATGGGAACCGATAGGACGTAGTGGAGAAAGAAACTTTGTGCTATGCAAGAAAAGGGAGATGCCACCACAAATGACTGAAGCAAGATCAGAAATGATAGAACATAAGACACCTGGCTGGAAGGCATGGCTCAACAAATCCTTTATTAATTTTAAAATCTTATCTAATTAAGGACATCATATATCTTAATTACTTAAGTTTTTTTTTTATACTATCAATTTTAAGTACAAACCATCCGTACACGCCTGTGTTAGTGATGTCAATTATCGAAATAAAAATATGCAAAAAAATATTGTTAATGATGTAACCAAACAGTGAAGCATATGTTCTCTTGTCTATGATTGGCATAGTATGCCTTAATAATACACCTCGTAATAATAAAAAAAACGTATATATATAATGACATCTTCCTTTGGTATTTCTTAGCAATTTTATTCTTATTACTTGTCTTTGACTATATATAGTTATTTTCAAAAGGGAAATATGGGGAACCCATGTGGTTTTTTTATTTGCCATTGTTAGAGGAATATAACTTTATTCTAATAATAATAATATTTGTATATATGCATTATTCTAAGTACTCTAACCGTAATAATATGAGTTTAATTAGCAGTGATTTGGCGAAGGTTGAGAGAGGTTCAATTCAAAGTTCTTACTGAAAACCTTGCACCTAACAAACATGTACTGCGATGTGTTATTAGTATTTAGGGTGTGTCAAGTAAAATTAGCTGTGTTGGTAATTGTTAGCTGTTTTGGTCGCGTTTAGCTGTTTGAGTAGTTTTTTATGAAACACTAAAAATTTAACATTACATGAGTTAATTTTTCATAAAATGCTATCCTAACATCTAAAACCTAGTCCAAATGTTATATTACCAAATAAATTTTTAGGTAGAGTTTAGCATTTTTACCGGTTAAAACTAAAAGATACTTGAAATAGTTTTAGTTTCAAGTTTCAATGGTTCAAAGGAAAAGATTTTGTCTAGGGAATATGTATATTGTAAGGCAATTACACGGTGAGAGGATCGGACATGACAATAAATAAAGGGCGAAGTATTGGATCTATTCGGATTTTTAAAGAAGTTGGATTACATTTTTGTGGGTGAGAACACTCTATAAATTGATCATTAATGAAATAAGTGTACAATGCTATTTAAATCATTACCATTAAAAGTTAATAAAATCACTTTAAGGATGTGATTAAAATATTTTATTCCCTCAAACTATTTAGAAGGGAAAAATGAAGGAGAACATTTGAAAGCAATAAATGAAATTAAATGCATTTAATGTATTCAAGAGAAAGAATTGAAAGTTAGGGCATGAAACGCCATGGATTGAAAATAAAATAGAGAGAATAGACTTGAGAGAGAGAGAGAGAGAGAGAGAGAGAGAAGACGAGAGAGGAAAGTCTTTCAGCACAATAACACATTAGCAGACAATCCTGCAACACTGACACGTTCAGACTAAAATATTTCAATTAAATCCAATCTAGAAACTCCCTTCAAGCATATACAAGTTTTACATATGCAGTTGTATCCTAACTTTACCATATGATAATTTTAACACTTGCGGTTTTACTTTTATAATTCCCATTAACTCAAAATTCTATCATTGTTGAAATTAATCCTTGGAACAAATGAATTTTAAAAAATTAATCAAACCAAATATGAAAATTCATTTGCAAATGAACTTTAATAGAATTCAGTTATAAATAAATTTCATATTTTGAATTCATTAATACCAAACGGATAAATTTTAAATTTTATTTCTAATTTCACCTTATAATTCCGATTTGAACGTATAAATTTCAATTTTGAATTATAATTACAGAAATATGGACTAAAGTAACTCCACAAGTTAATCGGTAGTAGAAACCGTACCCAAACTAACGATGCCATATGATATAAATGAAATTCTTATTCAATTGTTCAACAAAAAATAAATAAATAAAAATATATCAATTTAATTCTTATAATTTCCGTTAACTTACAATTTTAATATTACTGAAACTGAATCTCAAAATACCTTATAATTCGAGTTTGAACTTATATCGATTTCAATTACAAATTTCTATGCATTTTTTGGGTGTTGATGGTAGATTTAGCTTTGTGTAAAGTTTGGTGAGTTTTTTCAGATTTCAAGAGTTTTATGAAAGCAATTGTATTTGCTGACCGAACTCTTTACAATCCTTTCTAATATATAATACATATGGACGTAATTCTAGGCTAGAATCAACTTAACAATCACTACAAAGTAGGAAATAGCCAGCTATACAAATGATATAGTCAAAGATACATATTAACAAAAAGATATACATAATATTCTATCACACCCCCTCAGTCTTAGCAGGAGGTTTGTGGACGTTAAGACTATCCCTGAAATCATTAAATAAGACACGAGGAAGGCATTTTGTAAAGATGTCGGCGATCTGATATTGGGATGGAACATGAAGAATACCAACCTCTCCTTTCTGGACCTTTTCACGAACAAAATGGATATCTAGTTCAATATGTTTAGAGCGTTGATGTTGAACTGGATTTCCTGACAAATATATAGCACTAACATTGTCACAGTATACCAATGTTACTTTCTGGAGTGGGCAGTGAAGTTCAAGTAGAAGATTCCGTAGCTAACAAGATTCAAAGACAACATTAGCAACCCCTCGATATTCAGCTTCGGCACTTGATTTAGATATTGTAGGTTGACGTTTAGAAGACCAAGAAACCAAATTGTCGCCAAGAAAGACACAGTAACCCGAAGTGGAACGACAAGTGTCGGGACACCCACCCCAATCAGCATCTGTATAAGATAAGAGGGACTGTATCGAAGACTTAAACAAGTGCAAACCGTAATGGAGCGTACCTTTGACATAGCGAAGAATACGTTTCAAAGCTCCCATGTGTTCATCTTTTGGATCATGCATAAGAGGCACACCTGTTGAACGGCATAGGATAAATCCGGTCTCGTGAAAGTGAGATATTGGAGAGCACCTGCCAATTGTCGATATTTAGTTGGGTCTGCATAGGGTCTACCGGATTGGACGCTGAGTTTCCCTTTAGTATCAACAGGTGTGAGACTCGGTTTACACGATGTCATTCCTGCGCGGTCTAAAATTTCAGCCACATATTTTTGTTGAGAGAGGAACAAACCCTTAACTGTATGAGTGACTGCAATGCCTAAAAAATAATGTAGTTTCCCCAGATCTTTAATAGCAAATTCTACACTGAGAAGAGAGATAATAGACTTTCGAAGAGAAATAGAGGAAGCCGTGAGAATAATGTCATCTACATACAATAAAATATATGCAATGTCTGATTGTTTACGATAGATGAAAAGAGAGTGATCTGTTTTGCCGTGAGTGAAGCCAATAGTAGCAACAAAGTCAGCAAACCATTGATACCATGCTCGAGGTGCCTACTTCAGACTATAAAGAGATTTGCGTAACAAGCAGACATGATCAGGCCGTGTTGAATCTTTAAAACCCAAAGGTTGATGCATATAAACAGTCTCATTCAAGTTTCCATGCAAAAATGCATTCTTGACATCTAATTGATGAATGGACCAAGATTTTGACAATGCAATGCTAAGAACTGTTTGAATAGTAGCTGGTTTAACAACTGGGCTAAAAGTCTCCTCACAATCAATTCCTTCCCTTTGCGACCTGCCATCACCTACAAGACGGGCTTTATGCCTCTCAAAAGAACCATCAGAATTTGTTTTATGACGAAAAATCCACATTGACCTAATTACATTCACATTAGATGGGCGAGGTACTAAGTCCCACGTCTTATTTTTAATTAGAGCCTGATATTCATCTAACATAGCAGATTTCCAATTCAGGTCATTAAGAGCTCGGACCGAATTTTTAGGAATTGGGGAAATTTGTGGATGATCGACATGGAAGGCCTGGTGGTATTTTGGATTTGGTTTAAAAATCCCATGCTGGCTACGTGTAGTTATGTGAGGAATTATTGGTGGAGGCTGTGCAGGGAGAACGGCTGGGTTTGGCAACGGGTCAGTTGGTAATGGTGATAGATGGGGTGAGGGTTGCGGTGATGTTTCAGAATGTGGTGGATCAGTATTATATAGACGATGGAAATCTAAGGGAGACAGTCCGTCATCCAAAAATTCATAGGAAGAGCGATGTGGAGTATGAATTTTGGAGAATAGAAATTGAGTTTCATCAAACTGCACGTGACGACAGATGATAATTTTCTGACTAGACAAATCATAACACTTATACCCTTATGGTTTGGAGGGTATCCGAGAAACACGCAAGGTGTGGAACGGGCTTGAAGTTTATGAATAGTGCTATATGGGAAAAGAGGATAACACAAGCAGCCAAAAACTCGAAGATGGGTATAAGAAGGATCTTTTTGATATAGAATTTGAGTTGGGGATTGGTAACCTAAAACTTTTGTAGGAAGAATATTAAGAATATAAGTTGCCATAGCAAGAGCATGATGCCAAAAAGATGGTGGCATAGAGGAATGAGCAAGAAGAGTACGTACCATATTATTGATAGTTTTGATTTTTCGTTCGGCTTTGCCATTTTGGGAAGATGTGTGTGGACATGAAAAACGAAAAGACATGCCATGTTGTTCACAAAATTTTTGAAAAGATGCATTAACATACTTACGGCCATTGTCACATTGAAATGTCTTAATATTTTTGTCAAATTGGGTTTTTATGAAGGTATGAAGTCTAAGGAAAGTTTCATGTACCTGTGATTTGTGAGAGAGAGGAAAAGTCCATAAAAAATTAGTGTAATTATCAAGAAAGAAAACATAATAACGATGTCTAGAAGAACTAAGAATTGGTGATGTCCACACATCACTATGAACTATATCAAACGGCAATTGAGTAACAGACAAAGAATCATAAAATGACAACTTAACAAATTTCCCAAGAGGACATGAACTGCAAAAAGAAATACTAGACGTATTACAAGATATAAAATTAGTTTCCCGAAGAGTACTAAGAATTGCTTCACCAGGATGACCCAGACGATTGTGCCAAAGATTTGGAGAAATAGCAGTAAGAGTAGAGTGAGCGGAAGACGAAAAAACACGATTGGAAGTGGTGAAAGGATATAATTCTCCCTTGCTGTCACATCTCAGCAGTTTGCTCCCCGTCGGATAGTCCTTCACAGAAAATCCATAGGGATCAAATTCCACAGAAACCATATTATCAGTGGTAAATTTACGTACCGAAATGAGGTTTTTAATGAGGTGAGGAGCATGTAAAACATTTTTGAGTGTTAATGGTGGGTTGGTATGTGGAAGAGAGGTATTACCATAACCATGAATTGGAATCATGCTACCATTACCAACAATTATTCCATTATTACGGCTCAAATTAAAATAAGAGGTGAGAGTACCTAGATTGGCAGTCATGTGATATGTTGCTGCAGTATCCATATAACATTGATCTTCAGGTTGTTTCAAAGAGAGAGTGTGCATGGCATGTTCAATGTCAGTAGGAGCATAATCACTTGAAACTGGATCAGCAGTGTAAAATGCTTGAGATGGTCGGGCATCTAACACCCCCTGCTGCCGAGTCGCCGGTGGTGGTTGTCGAACACCCCATGGAGTGGTAGGATGGGGACATGGTGGGGTGGTCCACGGAGAAGGTGGAGGAAACCATCCGGCCCAAGATGGATAATTCCAGACCTGCTGTTGTGGAGGTCGCTGCTGATAGCGAAAATTACCATGGCCACCGTAATTCTGCTGGTTGCACTGGTTATGATTACCACGCTGCTTGCCTTTTTGTTTCTTGCCTGTATTAGATGAATTATTTGAATACATGGGAGGATCATTCTCATTTTGCTGTCCACATGAGGGAATAAGCTCAGGTTTTGATTTCATTAACATGGCAGCAATGGAACTGGATTCAAGTTTGGCTCTCTCGGCCTTTGTGGTTTCATCAAGGAGAAGTATAGATCGGGCTTAGGCAAATGTGGGCAAGGGTACTTTGTTCTGAACCGCAGTCACAAAGCTATCATATGCGTCAGTCAATCCATTGAGAAGACGTAGCACCATGCGCTGATCAGAGACCTTAGCTCCGACATTAGCTAACTGATCAGCCAATACCTTGAGACGGCGAGTATACGCCTTAGTATCAAGGAAATCACGCAAATAAGTATTTGCAAATTCAGTCTCTAGATGGATGGCTCGAGCAGACTTATTATCCTGGAATAATTCCGCCAGATGATTCCAGGCATCTGCAGCCGTGTCGTTAGGACTGATAATGGTGTTTAAGAGATCATGGGAGATGGTGCCATAAATCCATTGACGAACGATGTTGTCAATGCAATCCCATTGGGCTTGCTGTTCCATGGTTCTGGGAGGAGAAACCGTAGTATCACCGTCGACCGGAGAAGGAGCAATATGGTCGTATGTGAGTGTGGCTTTAGCATGGAAGGTGAACAATGTTGCCCAATTATTATATTCAACAGATTCATAATCTAGTGTTAGGGGTATGGCTGTTTTGATGTTGGTAATTGTAGTGGCGGGATGGATTCTATCAGCCATGGAGAAAGAAAGAAAGAAAAGATAATGAGGTAGAAGAAGAGGAGATTTAGAATTTTCTAGAAGAGATAAGGAAGGTATCGTTTATTGCTCTGATACCATGAAAGCAATTGTATTTGCTGATCGAACTCTTTACAATCCTTTCTAATATATAATACATATGGACGTAATTCTAGGCTAGAATCAACTTAACAATCACTACAAAGTAGGAAATAGCCAGCTATACAAATGATATAGTCAAAGATACATATTAACAGAAAGATATACATAATATTCTATCATTTTATTTTGTTAATTATGTTTTAATTTAATATTGTAATGAACTGTTCATAGGCTTGAGTCGAGGCAGTAGCAATCTGAGGATCGGATGATCCAGGAAGAGGAATCAAGTTCTGTTCCCCAACTCTCCCCTGATTGTCTACTCCATCTTCAACGTCAGTAATTATGAAGGAACCATTAATCACGATGAAAGGCAAGGGAAGAAGTTTATGTTTCATTAAAAATAACGTGCGGTGTGTTTCCTGCTCACCAAACCAATTGATATCTTTTTTTTTTTTGAATCAAACCAGTAATTCAAGAGAGAAAGTGGATGAAAGTTCTAATTGATCGCCTTCCATTTGCTCTCCAAATAGCTCCAGCAGTTGTAATTAAGTTAATTAGATTTTATAAGACGTTCTTGGCTAGCTATTTAGGTTGCTATATTTTCTTTAGCTAACTTTGTTAATATTTTGAAAGGGACTCTTTTACAAAAGGAATGGACGATAAGTGTGGGGGGAACACATACAAATAAGAATATGACTTTATCACCAAAAGTACAGGCTGAGGTTTAACTGCAATGTGCATATTCCATTTTTCATCTTGAAAGAATAGGTATTAGTTGAAGGTGGCAACTATTTTATCATTCTTCCTTTTCTTTGTTTTGAAAGAAAAATACTTCATGCATTAATTTCAACCGATAACAAGAAATCCGGGATAGAATCCCAACAATGCAAATCAACATATCTGTACGAGACTTTAATTAGTTAACTAATGAATTTGGCAAATCAATATTTATGATCTAAAATAATCTTACAATTCGAAACCACTAATCTAAACATTGATAAATCATCTTTATGGAATTTCAATTTGGCATTGCACTTATAAATAGTTTTTATAACAACTTTATTTTTATCAAAATCCCTACTTTTTGGTCATGTAAAAATAAAAATGTGTTAACTTTCTCTCTCTCTCTTTTTTTACTCATTTTAAATAATAGTTTTATTTTTCTTTTCATAAATAATTTTTACTATTTCTATTTTATCTCCATTTTTATCATTAAATATATTATTATCACTATTAATCAAACCTTTAAATGGATAAGTAAAACATTAACCTTTCATATTTTGAATTTAGGAAAATATTATAAGATTATGTTAAGAAAAATTTAAATAAACATTATGGTTTATTATACTAACTATATTCTCTTTTCTAAATTTTTGTTAAAGTGCCACTTTTAATGTGAGGTAGTATAATATAAGAACAAAAAAAAAATTAAAATAATAAATGACGAAAAACAAGAAAGCCAAATAACAGTTATGTGTGCTTATATACAGAGGAAGTTCTTAAACAATATACACTAACATAGAAAGAAAAACTGAACAAATAACAAAAACACTCGACAATTCTCTCTCTCTCTCTCCACACACACATACACACACATATATATCTCAATCTCATTTCCTTTTCTCTTTATATTAATTCCCTGATCGCTCCATAAAAGAAACCCTAATCCTTTAATGTTTGTGTTTTTCCCATACTTCCTCTCTTTCTTTTGATGCCACTAGAAAAACCTATTATCCCTTTGATGAAATCTCTCCTCCTCCTCATTTCATTTTCTTATAACCAGGCGGCGAGTGTTCTTGACGCGGCCGCTCTTTTAGAGAGAAAATGATGAAGAGAAATGCGATGGGTGAAAAGCTGATGTTAAATAGGCAAAACAGCAGCAACAAAAAGAGTATTGACGAGAAGAAGAATAAGAAGAATAGGTTTTTGATAAGTGTAAATGTGATTGGAAGTGCTGGGCCCATAAGGTTTGTGGTTAAAGAAGATGATGATGTTTCTTCTGTTATTGACATTTCTTTGAAGACCTATTGTCGTGAAGGTCGTCTTCCAGTTCTTGGTTCTGATGCTAACAACTTCCTTCTCTACTGTCCAAAAGCTGGTTTTGATGGTAATGATTATCTTGGTTAAACTTTTCTTCTTCCTTTTTGTTTTTTTAATAAAATGTCAATTCCTATATAGTTGATATGAGTCAACTCATGAGTGAAATATCAAATATTGCTTCTTCATGAATTTTTTCTTTTGTCATTATTAAATTTTTATACGAATTTCTTTAAAAGAAAAAAGTGAAATTAGGATATATAATTTTTTCATCTTGTAAACCTAAAACGACTGAATGCTACTAAACTTCTTTTACTTAATACAGATTTAGTAGTTCAATATCTAACTTATAATCCTAGAATTTAGGGGTTGAAAAAACTCTAATGATAACTGTTTTCCTCGAAATATTTCTGATTTAATATTTTATTCTTTCTAATACTATAACTGATCATTATTTTGGAATTTTGTGTGAAGCTATGAACCCATGGGAACCCATAGGACGTAGTGGAGAAAGGAATTTTGTGCTATGCAAGAAAAGAGAGGTACCACCACAAATGACAGAAGCAAGATCACAAATGATAGAACACAAGACACTTGGTTGGAAGGCATGGCTCAACAAATCCTTTATTAGTTTTAAGATCTTATCTCATTAAGGCAAATCATAATATCATTTCCAATATCTTAATTACTTTGTTTTTTTTATATCAATTCTAAGTACAAAAACAAACCGTGCACGCTCGTGATGTCAGATGTCGAGGTATAGATATGCAAACAATATTGTTAACTGATGTAACTAAAAAGTCAACTAAGCATATGTACCCATGTCTGTGATTGTCTTAGTATGCCTTAATAATACACCTTGTAATAATAAAAAAAAACAAATAGAGTGTCAGCTTCTTTTGGCATTTCTTGGCAATTATATTCTTAGTTATTTTGAATATTGGGTTCTTTCTTCTTTTTTTTTTTTTTTTCTGTTTATAATTTTATTTTTAGTTATTCTAGAAGGCAAATATTGTCATAGATGGGAACCCATGTGGTATTTATTATTGCCATTGTTAGAGGAATATAATTTTATTCGAATGGCAGTAAGTATAGTATTATTTGTACGCATTATTTATATATAAGTACGCTACATCTAACAGCAACAATAGAAATTTGTACCGATCAAGTGGTTGATACTCTCACTTATGTGAAGAATGAAAAATCTCGAATTCGACTACAGTTGTTTTTACCAATTTGGTAAGTCAAATAGAGGACTTTTCCTATTGTACAGTCCGCAACGTTATTTCCGCCCATAAAAGTCTCCAATGAATTAAAAAAATAATAAAAATTTGTACATTGTAAAATAAAGATAATTACACGTTCGAGAGGATGACGCATGAGAATAAATAAAGGTAAATTATTGAGTCAATTAGATTTGATTAAACATTCATGAATATGCTCATATTTGGAGTTATACATTAATTTACGTGGGTGAGGGTGTAATCATTTTATATATTAAAAAAAATCTTACTTTAATTCATATTCTTACTTATTTTTTATACAATAAGAAGAGAAATAAAACTAAATAAAAAAAAAGATACAATAGCGACATCATGATCAAGCCAAAATAAGATATCAGCTGGATTGAAAATCTAAACCTCTATATGCACTATAGAAGCAAACTTGGACATTCAAATTCGTGCTTCAACTATTTCATTTAATTCAATATATATGACATAATTCTTCTTTTCTATAAAATAAGAGTTAACAACAAAGTGAAGTCATTTTCTAGGAAAATAAATTTATGTAGTATACACTTTTATACCTAGCATCACATAAATAATTTTATGATGATTTAATTATTTCTACTTAATGGCTTTATATAGAGATCTAAATAATTAATAATCATCTTATTTATAATTATCTAAAATTAACAAATAACTATTAAAAATTATTATAAAAATTTTAATATTATATAACGAAAGATAAATTATGAAATTAATAAAAAAATTTATCGAACAACTAACATTCATTGACTAATAACTATCGTGTACCAGTTATCTGCTGTCAATAAATTATCAAATACTAGCTAATACAAACAGTTAAATCAAATAAATTCTAAATTATATTACAAAATTACAAACCAATGGGTGGAATCCAACACGTGAAATAATTTTTTTATTTTTTATTTTGGAGCAAATAAAACGCGTTTGCTCACAATTATTGAGATAATTCTAATTTCGTGTAATCAAAACTCGTTAATAAGAATAGATGAATCTTAATAATTCTAATCCCACCATAAAAATCAATCTCGTTTCATTTATTTATTTTTATTTATTGGGATGCCAGCAAGCTGATAGAACATTATGAATTACACTACAGGAGGTAACTCTTTTCTTTATTCACTAAATTGATAAGAGAGCTGAAAAATTTATTTTATTTATTTATTATGGCTCTTATATAACTTCCAAATTGCAAAGGCATAAAATATGAGTTTCATGGGGAACAGACAATCCAATTCTATTAACTAGACAATTCAAATAAGCAAAATAATTCAGTTGGGCCGCCCCTTGATATATATGTTACAAATTCAAAGCCCATTCACAGTAGTGGTACTTTGGTAGGCCGTAGGCCTCCATCGGTGTTTATTTTTATGTTTAGTTTTAGCGACAGAAATTAATTGTTTACCGGCAGGAATTTCTCCCTGAGATTTTTGTAGTGAATCAAGTTACAAATTTCAAAAAAAAAAAAAAAAAAAATAGTGGTACTTTGGGTAGGCCCGTTAGGCCTCCATCGGTGTTTTATTTTTATGTTTACGTTTTAGCGAACAGAAATTAATTGTTTTACCGGGCAGGAATTTCTCCCTGAGATTTTTTGTAGTGAATCAAGTTACAAATTTCAAAAAAAGAAAAAAAAAATTTTTTTAATATAGAATTTTATTTTCCTTTATTTGTTTTCGTTTTTTTCTCCCTTTCCTGTTTAAAAAAAAAAAAAAAAAAAATTTAATATAGAATTTTATTTTTCCTTTATTGTTTTCGTTTTTCCCCTTTCTGTTCATAAGCGTAAGCATGATAATGAGCCCACTTATATTTTCCTCGCCAATGGGAGACTGTATTAGGCCTTTGGCTTCAAATTCCAATTTTAGGATAATAACCCAATAGCTTTATGCAGACAAGCTCATTTGTGGAGGTTAATGAGTGCTTATGCTCTTAATCTTGTTTGTGAGTTTTGTTTTTCAAAGTAAACAAGAGTCTTAATCTTGTGTTGTGAGCTTTTTTTTTTTTTTAATAATGTAAATGAGAGTGTTAATCCTGTTTCTGAGTTTTCTTATAATGTAAGTGAGAGTTGATGAAAGTTAAATATTTATGCATATTAACTTCTATACGAAAATGTCAATGAAAAGTGGTTTAATTGGTACTTTCATCAGGAGTGAAAGGTTTTAAGTTCTAGATATCTTATCATAAAATGTAGAAATTTAAATAGTTATACATTAATTAACCTACTATTTTTTTTAGGAATAAAGGCTAATTTGACCCCTAAACTTATTTACCAGGATAAAAAAAAGTTAGATTTAATTTTTTGGATTAAATTTAACCCTTGAATTTGTTTAAAATAATTAAAAATATCAGATTTAATCCTTTGGATCAATTTATTCATTGAACCTTATTTAAATGATTAAAAAAAATCATATTTGACCTTTTGAGTTAATTTATCCCATGATTCTCCACAGTACTTACAATATGAGAATCATTATATAAATATTTATCAAAACTATAGTTGTGATTGGACTGACTAATTTATTAAAAATAATTAAATTTAGAACCTAGGAAAATGATATATGAACTATATTGTATTTCTCTTTACCTTGATTGATGTTTTTGATTTATAAATATGTATTAATTTGAACATTTTAAAATTGACCTCTATTACTAGGTTATTGCATATGAAATTTACGCATTTTTTATGTTGAATAAATTAAATTTATAATGCATGATCATAAATTTATTATAGTAGAAGAAATGATATTTTTATGGATTTTAAATTTCTAATCATAAGTGTTGGAAAATTTTAATCTGAATATTTTTAGTGTAGGATAAAAGTCAATCATGTTCAATTGAATAAATTCATTAATTTGTAAAAATCAAAATAAATTCAGAGTTAAATTGACCTAAAAAGTGAATTATATCTTTTTAATTATTTTAAACAAGTTCAGGGTCAAAATTGGGCTAAATAGTCAAATTTGATTTCTTTTATCTTAAACGAGTTTAGGGGCTAAATTAGCCTTCATTCCTTTCTTTTATGTCATTTCTTTACCTTCACTAACTTTTAATTCTATCTATATTACAAAATTGAGAAGAGTAGAAAGACTCAAATCATCTAATCAAACCAAACTGAAAATCAAATCCATTTATTTCGGTTTGATTCGGTCAGCCGCTCAAATAAGAGTTTGGTTGGTCAATTTATTTAGTTTAGACCGAAATTATTATTTAGGTCGGATCGGTTGTACAAAAGTTAATCAATTAGGTTTAAAACTTAAGCCGATTAAAATAGCCCATCTAATTTATTCGATTCAAGTCAGTGGTTCAAACCTCATCCTCGGTTCGGTCCTTTTAAACATGGATAGTTCAATTTTATATTTTTCACCCTTGATTTGTTTCAAACCGCCGAACCGACTGGTTGCATAAAATGAGTTTACTTAAACTTGAACTAACCAATGATAAAAAGTTAGTACAAAGTACTAGCTAATTACTATTTAGTTTTTTACCCTTATATGCCGATGGATGTGGTATTTATTAAACATGAGATTTTTAACACTATTCTCTTAAAAGTCTCATGCAATACAAAAGCTTGTGGGGAAAAGAGAGCCGCAAAAGATACATAGAGGATTAGAGCAAGTGGAGATGCTTGACTTTTATTTACAGGTCCAATTCAATTATTTAGATTTGCTTGACTTTTACAGAATTAAACGCCGCAAGCCGGCCTACAATGAAAAAAGTATTGCTACTTTGAGCCTATAGTCTACCAAAGGATTTGAATTCCTCCGAAATTTATGGAATTACTAATATTTTAATATGAAAAAATCATTGCTATATTCAATTGTAATGAATTTATAAAGGAAATACTTATATCAAATCAATGAAATTAAAAATTATTTTAAAAATATTTTTATTTTATTCTTTTTTTTCCAAGTGTATGGTAAAAAATATTCTCGTTTTAATAAAATTTTTAATTTCATTAGTTTGATTTAGAAGTAAGGTTATTGATTCGATCTAGAAGTAAGGTCATTGATTTGATCTAGGTAAGCTTTTTCCATTTTATATAGTACTCCCTCCTTTTCAATTTAATAGCAACATTTAATATTTTCACAAGGATTAAAAAAATGATTGGAACACATTGATTTTCTAAAAATATATGGTAAAATATTTAAATTGCTCTTCTTAAAATGAAAAGCTCACCATTTAATTTTGCTACAAAACATCTAATAGATATAGGTAAAATTGAAAAAAAAAAATTAATACACTCTCGAAACTCTAAATGAGCACTTAAAATGAAACAAAGTAAAATATCTATTTGTTGCTATTAAAGTGAAATAAATAGAGTATCATTATAGTTTATTAGTTATTCATTGTTTTTTGTGTTGTCTTGTGTTAGATAATATGCTATCTTGAGATGTTAGCTTATCCTCAAACAAATTCCACTATCATATAAGTATAAGAAAAGAGGTGGAAATGTAAGTGTTAGAATGTGTTGAACTTGAGAGAGGCTTTTTGAAGACGATGGTGTCACTCTTTAGAAAAAAAAAAAAACTATGTAAATTTTATCAAATCCAAGATGAGGTGGAATCGGGTTTCATAATCTCTCATCCAACCATTAAAATGGATTACACAATGAAAGGATATGTATTTAGTAACTAAGCAAATAAATAGAAAATTTTAAAACACCTAATGTCTAAAAC